AAGAGCCTAAGTGTCCATCAACGGACGAATGGATCAAGAAGATGTGGTTTATCTATACCATGGAATACTACCTGGCAATGAGAAAGAATGAAATCTGGCCATGTGTAGCAACATGGATGGACCTTGAGGGTGTTATGCTGAGCGAAATAAGTCAGGCAGAGAAGGACAAATATCATGTGTTTGCACGTATAGGAGGATTAGGAGGAACTTAACTGAGGACCATGGGGGAGAAGAAGGGGGGAAATGGTGGGGGAAAGGGAGAGAGGCAAACCATGAGAGACTTTTGAATGCTGAGAAACAAACTGAGGTCTGATGGATGTGGGGGGGCGGAGGGGGGAGATGAGCATGGAGGAGGGCACTCATGGGGATGAGCACTGGGTGTTATATGGAAACCAACTTGACAATAAACTATTTGTAAGAAGAAAAAAACTTTTTTAAAAAAGGAAAAAAAAATATGTGCGAGTTGCAATGTAGCATGTATTTCCTGCTGTGAGTTTCAGTTAAAAACATTAGAAAGCTTCTAATCTAGGTCCTTCTTTTAATTTAACATGAGAGGAACTGACCCGAGAGTTCTGTCAGTTTATTATAGGACATGTACATAGTGGACAAACCAGGATTGGAATCCAGGTCATCTTACTTTCCATTCCGTATTCTTCCATCTTTCTCAGGACTTGCATCTCTTCTCCTGCTGGAGGTGCCTGCCCTCTTCTCCAGCAACTGATAAGCTCTTCAGTCACTTCTACTTCTGTTTCTGTTTATTGTTCTCTGGCTCAGAATGAATTGACTATTGGTAAAATCCTGTGGTCACCTATCAGACTCCTCTTCTGAAAATGAAATATGTCTCTTTCCTTTAACCTCTTCTCCTAAGGGGATTTTTTAAACCCTTTTAATCACTATCTTATGAATACTGTAACTTCTTCAAGTGCTTTTATTTGTTTTCAAATTTTCAAGTTTTATTTTCTATATGTCAACTTTCAGACTTTAATCTGATAAAGTCTGACCCCAATCAGACTGTTGATTATTTCCATTCATAATTAGTTTAACCAGAGAAAAAAATTTAAATTAATTTTGAATACGTACCACCAAAAATAAATATTCACTTAATGTGGTCTTATCTGTTTTATGATATAAAAAGGTTTTTTCCTCCTTAAATAAAGATTCTAAGATAAATTCAAGTTTCCTTTGACAAATGGAAAAAAAAAAAACCCACCACACCTTCTAAAATAGCGAGTTTAAAGGGGCGCCTGGGTGGCTTAGTCGGTTAGGCGTCCGACTTTCGCTTAGGTCATGATCTCACGGCTCGTGGGTTTGAGCCCCGCGTCAGGCTCTGTGCTGGCTGCCAGCTCAGAGCCTGGAGCCTGTTTCAGTCCATGGCTCCCTCTCTCTCTGACCTTCCCCTGCTCACGCTGTCTCTCTCTCTGTCTCCTAGAAATAAATAAACATTAAAAAAAATAAAAATAAATAAAATAGCGAGCTTATGTAACAATGGGGATTACTAGGCATCCCCATTAATGTAAGAGAAAATATTTCTAATGAAAACGAAATTTAAAACATGATCTTAAACTTCATGAAAAATTTTAATAAGGCCCTTACTTCATTTACCTATTCCATAAATCCCAGAAGAGAAATTGGATACTTTGTAATGAAACTTAGAAAAATGTCTTTTTCCATACAGCAAACTTAGAAATGTTTCCCTTTGACTTCTTCTTCCAATCCTCCTTCACTGTACCAAGGAGCTATTGAGTTCTTCCAGAGTTGTGGTTAGGCGGGTGGGTTCCAAGCTGATGTGGCTTTCTAGGTAGGGAGTTCCTGCATAGGGTTTTCCGGTCACTGGATCTGTGACTTGTCCACCTTTGGCTTTGTTTGTGGGACAGCTGGTGCTTTGAGAAGCATGATACTAAAGCGGTGAGCTGCTGGAGAGCATCATGAGTGCAAGCAAAGTACGTGTTTTGCTTATTCATACTTTAATCAATAGGGATCCCAGCCAAGCCTGGTCATGCTCACCTTGGCTGGTTTTTAGCATTGCCGTTCCAGTCAGCTTCCCTGCGATCCATCTGGCACGGACAGATGAACGAACCACTGACGTTATATGGCTTTGGTTACCTCCCAACTCTACTTGCTCTGCGCGTGTCCTCTGTAACCTCCTCACATGCTTTTAAAAGGTTGGTGGCCACAACCAAGTGTCCGAGTATAGTACTTCTCCAGTGGACTCTGGTCACCCTGGCAGTGTGGAAAGCAAACTGCCGATCTCAGTAGAAGATTCAATCTTTGCCAAAATTGTTAAGTATAATTGACACTGCAGAAAATTGTGTTGTTTGCCCTATGACAAACCATTGTGAAACCAAAGTTTAGTATCAGTCGCTGGCAAAAACAGAAGGAAGGAGAGAAAGGAATTGAGAGGAGGTTTTGAACTAAAACATATGTGGAAAATATTCTTACTAAATCAAAAACAAGTAGACCGAAGCCTTAGAGGAAATAAACCTTATAAAATTCCATGTCTATCGTTTTGTCTCATTGTCTCTTTTTCTGTAACCTGTAGCTGATCGATGGGTTCTTTTCTTGCCCTTAGAAATTAGTATCATGTGAGTGTTCGTGTTTTTGAATGTGAACCCTTCCTGTTGACAGTTGTGACAGGAAGCACCTTTTCAGGTCCCCAGTGAATTGCAGTCTTCCCTTCTGATTCTCAGTGCCTGTTTCGTTTCTCTACAACCGTACCCTGAATTGGAGCCCTGATTTATACATATCCTTGGGCACATGCCATGGTACTGCCGGTCCTTCAGTGGGCTGCGCTGGAAGGGCTAGTTTTTCCTCTTCTAGCACCCGAAACACTTATGTGTGCTTGATGAGTGACTTGTCCCATGACTTCTCTTGCTACAGCCAGGCCAGTGGGTGCTACTGTGACCCTTGTGTGCACCAAGGGTGACAGCAGCACTAACGGCTGTGGCAGGCAGACTCCGTGCTCACTGACTTTTCCATGCCAGCTGGTTTTATTAAGCACATTCACACGGCCCCGGTGCCTTCATGAAGGCCAGTGCTTGGAAACGGGGACAGAGTGTCAGAGACCCACTCCGATCTGTCCAGGAGACCCCAAAGGATGGACAGCATCAGCGCGAAGGAAGGGACACAGCTCGAGTGAACCAGTCAGGACAGTTTATTGATTCTTTTTCAGCAAGCTTATATATGCTTTCTACTTCCTATATGTTTGCGCCAAGCTTTTGTTTCTATTCTCAGAATGTTTTTCAGGGAATTCATCCATGAGGAAACTTTCTGCTTATTTTCTTGCATTTCTGCTCTTTTACTTTTTAGAGTTAATCTTTAATCTTAATATTTCTATGCCTTACAAGCTAGAGGGTTAATTCTGTTTTCTATATTGCTAGTTTCATTTGTTATAGCTGAGACAGGTAGAGCCTATTCTTTAGAGAAATTGAAGCGTGACTACTTTCTTAGTATCTACCCTTTCTGTAAACTTTTACAAGGACATGTTTTCTTTAGGATGCCTTTAATGATCAACTAACTGCTAAGTCACCGGGAAAGGCCCAGTAAGAAAAATAAGCTGAAACGTAAGCTGATTGACTTGCAGAAGAGATAGCAGTAGCTTCACTTTCAGAGAACTGCTGTGTGGTCGTCTCTTGTCGACCCCCTGGGCTGTGCCGTCAGGTGGGTGATGAAGTTCGGCTCCCGGCAGCAGAGTCTGGGGCGTTTGGGAATTGGCATTAAGGACACAGACTCTGTGGTCAGACGGATCTGGGTTTTAATCCTGATGGTTAATTGTCTCATGTGGAAGGGGACTGAATAGTAATTGCCAACTCTTAGAGGTGGTGGTATACACGCCACGCTGCTAGCACAGTGTCTTCATCCACAAAGGGAAGTCTGTTGTTACTGTTTATTAATATGCGGCATTATTATTAATAGACTTGTTGCAGTTGGCCAGCGAAAGGCGGTAAGAAAGTTATAAGCCTGGTTACTCTCTTTCATATTCTTTTGTCATTGTTTCCTTGTATTCTTTTGTCAGCGTCGATAACTTGTCCACAGACAGAGATGTTGTGAACAAGGCACATCCTAACAGAAAAATTGTCTGTGAGCCAGGTGTGCCCGCCTAAAGCACTGTGCTGTTTCGCGCCAGTGTACAAACCTACCCGATCGGCCCCGCTTCGGGCCTGCCTGGCCTCAGGACTGCCCAGGCCTTTGTGGGCCTCGGGATGCACTACAGCCTTTTTTTCATCAAATGTCCTGTTCCTCCTCATTCCTTAAAGCCTGATTAGAACAGGAGGATTTTCTGTTCTTAAATCTCAGAGGAGCGAGAACAGGAAGAAGATACTTGGTTTGTTCTAATTATAATTCTGAACTTCTTTTCCCCCTAAGATAAAAATATGACTGAGATGCTAACATTTTATGTTTTCCTCCACAGTGTTTCCCATCTTTAAAAAAAGTCCAGTTGCCTTCTCTTAGCAAGCTGCCTTTCAAATCTATAGATCACAAGTTTATGGAAAAGTCAAAGAATCAATTAAATAAGTTTTTACAGGTAAGCAACTGAAAAGTTTTGGGTCCGAGAGGAAAAATTAGTTATTTTGGGGTTAAATTGTCACTATTCTAAGAGCTGGCTCATTAGCTTCCGGTGCTCACAGGTCATGCCAGATCCTCAAAATATCTCCGGTTGGCTTGTTTGTTTGTAATGAAAGTCTGCTATACACACAAAATACACAAAATAGAGAATATGTACGGTATAGAAATCACGTGTACAACACTCTCCTTTGTCACACACGCAGCACACGTGCACACAGTAGCACCCAGTCTGGGAAACAGGATACCGCCAGTGCCCCCAGCTTTCTTCCTGTCGTTGCCCCCACCCCCCACCTCATGCCCCAACCCAGGGCCGTCCCCATCCTAACCTCCAACATGGACAGACCTGTTTTTGCACTTTGTATAAACGGAATCATGCAGTATGGACTCCTTTGTGTCTGACTTCCTTCACTCGACGTGTTCAGGGGACTGCTCCCAGCGCTGTTATGGTTGCAGATCATTTGTTGTCACTGTTGTGTAGATTTCTCACTGTGCGAACATACTAGAGTCATTCATTTGCATTGTTGACACGCATTTGGATGGTTTCCAGTTGAGGCCATTACGAAGAGCATTTTTATAAACTTCTGGTACTTGCCTGTTAGTGGATATATGTCATGTTATACCTACGGGTCTGGGTTTCTTAGGTTTTACACTGTCACCCCAGTGTGTAAGGTTCTGATTCCTCCCATCACCACTGCCACTGACTCTCTGCTGTGTTCCTTAAAAACAAAAAAAAAGCTAATTTATTTATTTTGAAAAACGTGCACATGTGTGTGCATGTGAGTGGGGGAGGGACACAGAGAGAATCCCAGGCAGGCTCCACTCTCAGCGTGTAGCCTGACTCGGGGCTTGATCTCATGAGATCATCACGTGAGCCAATAGGGGCACTTAATTGATTGAGCCATCCAGGGGCCCCTCCTTTGTTCTTTTTAATCATCCTGGTGGGTGGGTGATAGTATCTTGTTGTGGTTTTAATTTGCATTTCCCTGACAGCTAATGACTGAAGCACCAGCCTGTGTGTTATTGGCCATTTGGATAGTTTTTTCTGTGAAGGGTCTTGTCAAGTTGAGTCTGCTTTTGTCTCCTGTTGCTGATCTTTTCCCTACCACTTTGTGGGAGTTCTGCATGTGATTTGAGGGTCAATCTCTTGTCAGACCATTTATGTTGCAGAGATCTACTTTCTTTCTGTGAATGGCCTTTTCGCTCTCTTAATGACTTAATGAACTGAAGTTCTCAATTTTAATTTAGTTCACAGTATCAGTTTTTTCTCTTGTGGTTTTGCCTTTCTGCTTGTTCGGAAATCTTTGCCTACTCTGAGGACCTAAAGATATTCTCCTAATTTCCTCTGAATGCTTTATTATTTGCCTTCAGTCTGCTTTTAGAGAATAAGGCCAAAGATACACTACCCTTAGTAGTAACCACTATATATTTTTCCTTTGCTGGGCCCTCTATATATGCAGAGTATAGTTAAACTACTCAAACCGTGGACCCCAAAGCTCTTTTTGGAGGCATTAAACTTTGCCTCATGAAACACTTTTTGCCTATGTAGTGGTAGCTAGAAGTCCTGAGATTTTAAATAGTGGATGTTGCCAAATTCTTCGTAAAAGCTGTATTAAAATACAGTTGTTGAATCAGAAGTGTGGGTCATTGTTAACATAAGTTAATGTCAGGGGCGCCTGGGTGACTCAGTTGGTTAAGCATCTAACTTTGGCTCAGGTCATGATCTCATGGTTCATGAGTTCCAGCCCCACCGTCAGGCTCTGTGCTGATAGCACATAGCCTGGAGCCTGCTTCAGATTCTGTGTCTCCCTCTCTCTCTCCCTGTCCCCTCCCCTCCCCGCTCGTGCTCTGTCTCTCTCTGTTTTTCAAAAATAAACACTGAAAAAAAATTTGTAAAAAAATAACGTCAGAGCTGCTTTGAAAGTGTTAGTCTTTTCCCCCCCATATATTCATATCTTTCTCCTTCCCTCTGTCTCTCTAAATATGTTTGTATGTATGTATTCTAAAGTTTTCCTAAGATACAAATTATTTTATTTCCCAAGGGGAAATTTTATTTTATAATACTTATTTTATAATATTATATAACATGTGTATATAATATATAAACCTCCCTTAGGAAATAAAATAACCTACACCTTAGAAAACTGTTCTGAGTTCAATTATGGCAGAACTGGGTTAGAGAATCATCAGTGTTTAAATGCTCTTACATGAGAATTTAAAACTGAAATCCTACCATTTTGTTGCTGATTCAGAATGTCTGGGAAATAATTAACCCCACTGGATCATAGTGCCCGAGTGAATCATTCAGATGAGTTAAAATCTTGCTTGTGAAACGCGTGTATTATTTAAAATCCCAAGATTTTTAAGCTTCAGGTGTGTAGCTTTCAAATCCCCCAGCCGACTCTTTCATTTCCTTCCAGCCTCTGGTGTCCCAGAGGGTCTCGGCTTGTTTGGCCTTTCCTGTTTTTGGCAGAGACTGCACTCTGGGCCTGCTGTTTCTGGGTGCAGGGAGTGTGGTGATGTGCCCTTATGAGATGGTGGGTGATGGAAATGGGTTAGTGAGCTCTGCTGTTGGGCCAGGAGAGAGAGAAGCCGCCCTCTGCCGCACTGTGTCCTGGTAGGTCCTGTGGGCATAGCCCAGAGCAAGAATAATCTGCAGCTAAACCAGATGAAACCGGTTCCAAGTGGCCTTTTGTCTTGTAATCAAGCTGATTTCAAACCAGGAAGTAAAGATTTGGATCGTTTTCCATTTCCTCAAAGACTACTTGAAAGCACTAACTATTGAATGTATTTTGCAAGGTTGTACTGCAGACTCCAGTTTCGAAGTATTTATCCCACTATCTGCAAACAGGAAAAGATGTGAAATGCTTAGTCTTTTATTGAGTTCACAGGACCTTCCAGAAAAAGGGATTCCAGTGACCACCTGTTTATGTGAATGTTTGTTTATGACAAATGGTTCCCTACTGAAGCATACCAACCATACAGATACTTAATAATCTAGCCAGCCATTCTCGGCCATGCTGTCACGTGTGTCCTTCATTCCTGCTTACCACCTTCCCCATTCCTTACATACGTACTCTGCTTACCCCCTCTCCCCAGCCGTGCTCTGTCCTGCTTCTTGGTGTGCATGTGCTGTGCCCTTTCTTGCCTTTTCTTGGAATGCCTTACGCCTTTCTCCATCACCCACTCACTGGATAGTCACCTTAGATCTTCATCAGAATAGGACAGCATGCTCTAAGTGTTTGCACGGAAGGAGTTGGGAATGGGATGCCATCCCCAAAGAGCTTAAAAACTGTTGTAAAACCCCAGGGGTGCCTGGCTGACTCAATTGTTAGAGCAGGTGACACTTGATCTTGATCTCAGGGTTGTGATTTTGAGCCCCATGTGGGTGTGGAGCCTACTTAAAAAAAAAGAGTTAAAAGAAATTATAGCTTGCCCCACAGACATCTTTGAGAATTTCTGAATTTTCCTGTGTATTTGATTATTTTCCTTCATAATAGAATATAATACAGGCCACAGTCTTATTACCCTTAATGATTTCTTTATCTATACTGATTGCAGTAAGTTCAAGACTTAGTCATCATTTCTTTATCTTATAAACAGTGCTGGAGAGTATAGATCAGCTAAAGGAAATCGAATTAGGTGGAAAATATCTCACTCTTTCTAATCCATCCTTACATACAACTGAACATTTGAGGCTCTCCAAAATAAATAAAGGCTCCGGGGTCAGGGAAGGCAGTAGTGACACCCACTCCTCATCCCCCTTAATCTCATTGTCTCTGAGGCAGATCAGGCCTGTTTCCAGACAGAGGAAGCTAACAACCACTGGAGTGTTTGTGCCCTCGGACCCCGGTCCCCGGATGGCAGTATGGGGCGTTCTCAGAGGTGCCTGTTGTAGGGAAGGTCATGGAGTTTATCAGAATCAACCTTTGCCTGAACACGTGTCATGTGACCGTCAGGGACCAAATCCTCTGAGACTAGAACGTAACGTCTTCTGCCACCACAGGCTCTGGTAGCAGAAGCACAGTGAGTGTTCCCAGTGTCCCTCTCCCCGAGCGGGACTGCATCATAAATGGGTCACTGTTTTCCATTGGTCTCTTTATTCCTAAACCCTGTATTGTGTTTCTTCAAGTATTCATTCATTCATTCATTCATTCATTCATTTATGTGTGTATTTATTTACCTGTTTATTTTCAGTGTATTTATTTATTTTTGAAAGAGAGAAACCAGAAGTTTGGAAAGGGCAGAGAGAGAGAGAGAGAGGGAGGGAGAAAAAAAAGTAACATCTTTTTTTTTTTTTTTTAAAAGAGAGAGAGGGCAAGAGAGAATCCCAAGCAGGCTCCGTGCTGTCTGCACAGAGCCCATTGTGGGGCTCGAACTCACAAACCATGAGATCATGACCTGAGTCGAAGTCAAGAGTCAGACACTTAACCATTTGAGGCACCCAGGGACAAGTACACTTCTTAATCCCCATCACCTGTTTCACCCATCTTCCTACCCACCTTCCCTCTGGTAACCATTTTTTTGTTCTTTATAGTTGAGTCTGTTTCTTGCTTTGCCTCTATTTTTTCCCCTCATTTGCTTGTTTCTTAAATTCCACATATGAGTGAAATCATATTAAATCCTGTATTTTGGGAGCACCTGGCTGGCCCAGTTGGTGGAACCTGTGACTCTTGATCTCAGGGTTATGAGTTCAAGCCGCATGCTGGGTATAGAGATGGCTTAAAAATAAAATCTTTAAGAAAAAAAAAAAACCTGTATCTTTTAATACTAGACATTTAGACATTCTTGTGGTCATATTGTTAATCTTCCTATCAGTAGCACTTGCTTGTCCATAAACATAACTTATGTTCTTTCCTATCTCTGAAGGCCAGATAGGCACATAAAGAACTTGAGGGAGTTTCCAGTTTAAGGGCCAATAAAAACAGTTAGGTAATGATGTAAACAGGCACTGCTTGGAAGACAGCAGTGGAATAAAACTACTGCCCAGTAGGCAGTGGCGTGTGACCACTCACAGCGATTGTACAAAATCTGAACACAGCCACAATAGGGTGGTTCAGTGGTGTCCTTGCGCAGAGGACAGTATGTAAGTTGTTCGGACACAGGCAGGTGAAGGTGACGTTCAGAGGCGGTGGCCCTGGATCTGTCAGCTGTGTGCAAAGCACGAGTTTTTTGTTGGCGTGGAAACCGAGTGGATTCTGTTGTCCATACAATATCCCCCCCAGCAGGATGATTAGGTGCTTTCACCCTGGGGAGGGTTTACATGGGGAGGGTTGCGATCACCAGAATTAACCTCAGATGTTGTTTCAGCGGGAGGGGGAAGTAGTCTGGGGTTCAGAATTGGGGAAGATAAACCCCCAGCACAGTCCTTTGTGCCTTGCTCACCTTTATTTGTGGTTTCCATCACAGACATGGTCCTCCCTGGGAGTAACGCACCCTCTTTACTCCACAGAATCTGCTTTCTGATGAAAGACTGTGTCAGAGCGAAGCACTTTATGCCTTTTTGAGCCCTTCTCCTGACTACCTCAAGGTTATTGATGTGCAGGGGAAAAAATCCACGTTTTCATTATCCTCATTTTTGGAAAGACTTCCTCGGGACTTCTTCTCACATCAAGAGGTGAGCTGCCAAAAGGCTATGCCATTTTTTAAAATGTTTGTTTATTTTGAGAGAGACAGAGACAGAGCAAGTGGAGGAGTGGGAGAGACAGAGAATCCCAAGCAGGCTCCACGCTCATTGGGGAGCCCCACACAAGGCTCTATCTCAGAAATCAAGAGTCGGATGTTCAACCAACGGAGCCATGCATGCACCCCAGTTGTGCCATTTTTGCAGACTTAGGCACATCTTTTTGAAGGCTTTCTTTAAATTTTTTTTATGTTTTATTTATTATTGAGATAGAGAAACAGCATGAGCCAGGGGAGGGTTAGAGAGAGAGGAAGACACAGAATCCAAAGCAGGCTCCAGGCTCTGAGCTGTCACCATAGAGTCTGACGCAGGGCTCAAACCCATGAACCCATGGTGACCTGAGCCAAAGTTGGGTGCTTAACTGACTGAGCCACCCAGGCATCCCTGAAGGCTGTTTTAAGTACCAGATATTTGTTAAAAGCATGCTACTAGTGAGGGGGGAAAGAAGACGCATCCATTTTCAGTTATGATGACTGTCATATTTTGGGGACACCTGCTTGTGCTCCCCTATAAGCCATTTGCAAGAGTTGTGGTACAGAAAAGAGTAATAACAAGATCGGTAGGCGAAATGTGGATGGCAAGTTGTATGGGAGCCCCAGTAAAAGTGGTGGATCAGCTGTCCCTGAAGATGGGGGTTGTCATTATGGGAAGGCCGGCTTGAGAGGAACAGTTAGTAGGTGATGGGACTAGAGAGGAGGGAGATAATTAATGGAAGATTAGGCAAAGAGTAGAAGTGGGGGCAAGGTCATGCCAGGCTGAGGAGGGCAGAATTTATTTTCAGGGAATGGAAGGTCATGGGATATTCTGAAGCCAGAGGAGTCTGGGAGTGACATTTATGGGTTAAAGAGAGGCTATAGATATTTGCAAATTTGTATTCTGGAGCTCAGGCTTCCCTGCAGAGCAAGCTCTTAGCTCACGTTTAGGACACTGAAGCCCTGTCTCTGGCTCTTCAGCAAATCGCTCAAGACCATTGCTAAGATTTGGCATCTCTTTATGGAGACATTCATTGCCTCCTTGGCGTTCATCACCAAATGCCACTGCCTCTTCACCAGGACTGGTTTAATGAGTTTGGACAGAAGGCGCTGACAATGGGCAGGAGCGTGCTACTTGACTGCATTCTGAGCTGGGAGAGATCTCTACACATCGCAGAGCATATCCACACCGGTGCTCGGGTCTCTATAAACCTGCTCACCCCCATGCATCTCTCCCATCTCTGCCCTTCAGAGCTGTATATGTCATGTATGCCCATAATGGGTAGGCTTTCCTTCATGACCTCCCATTTATTCCTGAACCTCTTGGAGTTAACACTGAGGCTCAGTCACTCTGTGAGGTTATTCTCTAAGAGTGCCAGCAGCCCCCTCTCTGTTTTCACCTTCTTCCACCTCTTCTGTAGCATGTGACGTTGCTGTGGAGTTTTGGGAACTCCTCCTGCCTCTGTGACTTCTCGGTCCTTTCCCCTGCTCCTCCAGTCCCACACAGTGCTGTTATCAGCCCTCTGCATGGCGCCACAGCCTCGCCGTTGCCTCTGCAGACATCAGAACGGTGTTTAGTGTCCTTCCACTGCCCGTGTTTGTGCTTCTGTGACAGCACGTCGCCCTGCATGTAGAAACAGCGCATGTATACTTGCCGGTCTCTCCAGACCATGCTGAGCCACCGCAAGTCTGGGTCCGCATCACACCTATCTGTGCTAGCCTGGTGCCTGGCGTATAATCAGTTTTGAACTGAAACTTGCTAATATACAGATCAGGAAATGAGACTGACTGAAGTACAGAATCAGCTTGAGTTAGAGCTTTAAAATAATAAATTACTGGGGCGCCTGGGTGGCTCAGTTGGTTAAGCATCCGACTTTGGCTCAGGTCATGATCTCACGGTTCGTGAATTCAAGCCCCGCATTGGGTTTTGTGCGTACAGCTCAGAGCTTGGAGCTTGATTTGGATTCTATGTCTCCCTCTCTCTCTGCTCCTCCCCTGCTTACCCTCTGTCTTTCTCTCTCAATAAAATGAACTTTACAAAAAAATGATGTTAGTTTGAAATACACATGTTTTTAAGAAGCAGTGAATTTTAAATAATTGCTCTTAAGTCAAAAAGCCTTACTTTTGAAACTCAAAATGGTTACAAAACTCTTTTGTTGTCTAATTCACTCCTTACTGATACAGTGATACAGGTTTTTCAAAATTATTTTGAACCTTGAATAAGCCTTTAACATCAAGCTTTTCACTGGGGTTCTGTATAGATTTCGCCCTGTGTTGAGAATGCAGAGATTTCTGTATGTAGGAAAGTCAAGAGTGTTCAAGGTTGATGTGTGAGCACATAGGTTGGAACTTACACTGAAAGAAAAGAGCAACTCCACCAACTTTGTGGGATAAGTGACTTCCTTTGACCTTTCTGCATCCCCAGGAGGAGACAGAAGAGGACAGTGACCTGTCAGATTATGGCGATGATGTGGATGGGAGGAAAGACGCCTTGGCTGAGCCTTGTTTCATGTTGATCGGGGAGATCTTTGAACTTCGAGGAAGTAAGCCTTTTGTTATTATTTAATGGTATTTGCTGGTTAAGTAGTTATATACCCACACTCACCCACACTCTGGTGATATCCCTTTATTCCTGAATCACATGCGCATCTATATCCATTCACTTATCAGCAAACACATTTAAGAGCCAACCGGATACTGTGAGAGAACTGAGGCCACAGCCTCTGTGCTTGGGGAACTTTGGGTCCTGAGTTACCCTGTACCATGTTCCTCTGAATACATATAAAATGCTTTGAATTTCTTTTTTATGTGATTTAGCATAGGCTTATTGCTTTATCACCTAAAGGTATAGGAAAAATAATTTTGCGTAGCTGGGGAGGGAGCCCTGTTGATAAAAGGCGAGGTTTTGGTGCTGTGAGGGTGTACTGTGGCCAGGGACACAGGAAACGCCTCAAGCCTGCCTTTCAGCTACTTGTGTTCCCGGAGAGGAGCAGTTATGGGGGGGCGGGGGGAACAACATTTGGTGATATCTGAAAATACTTGTGGTTGTTACAACTTGCGATCTTGGCATCATGTGGAGAGAGGCAGAGGATGCTGTTAATTGCCCTCGAGGGCCCAGGTCAACCACCCACAGCAAAGAACTAGCCGGTCCAAAAGAGTTAGTGCCAAGGCTGAGAAACGTCACCCTAGGAGTACCTGAGGGAGATGTACTTAGAAGAAACAAGGGCAAAAAGAGGATCAAAGTAGCCAAGTTAAGATGCACACAAGCGCTTCTCCCCAAAGTGGTACTTGGATAAAAGGTCAACCTCTGCTGGGTGGCTGAGTCTTGAGTCCTGAGTAGGACCCTCTGCCCACACACTCCCTCCACAGCCCCCCAGCACTCTGAACCATGAGACCAGTGTCCTCCGTGTACCGAGAGCCTCAGGACTAGCTAGAGATAGGACAGGTGCCTAAAGGCACAACCAACCACCTCGTCATGTGAGGAGTCAGCATTGCTAAGGCCCCGTAATGTCACCAGCCAGTGATATGTTGTCCTGTGACTGTCCTGTGCTATCTGCCCAGATTAGCATCTTTTGCCTTGGGGTGAAGAATGTGGGCTGGGGGTTGGTCCTGTATAGGAAATGGGGCTGGGCTTCTCTTCTTACTGTATGTCCCTTAAAGTATCACCTAAGGAATTATTAGCAGTTGAAAAACTTCAAGGACTGTTATAAACTTGACCATGTTTTATGTGTCTTAGTCCTCACCATCTGCTATGATGCCTCATGCATAGTAGGTGATCAATAAAATGCCCGGATGGATGCACTGATGGATGAACAGGAAGAACATTTTAAGTGCGAGAATTAATTATTTTGATCATTAATAAGCCAAAGCTAAAACAGCAGACACTTTGGGAGCATGTGTTTTAGATGTCACTCTATAAGGAGAAACAAAAATAGATCAGATACAGATTCTTCCTTCAGTGAACTTTCACTGCAGGGGTTCCAAAAATGTAATTCACATTAAACCATAGACCCAGTTCTAAACTACAGGCAGAGATTTATACATAAAGATGTTCATTTTAACATAATTTCAGGAATGGAAATTTAGAACTAGGCTGAACTTTAGAAGTGGGGGATGGTTAAATGAAGAAATAATCTCTGATAGAATATTATCCAAATACCAGAGATCCTTTCAGATGAAAAAGCTATCTATCCCTGTTCCATATTTTAGACACTCTAAGATCTATACTGATGTTTAGTTAGGTTCAGCCTAGGCAGAAAAAACGAGCCCTCCGCCCAAAATCTGACTCTTCCTCAGTGAAATCTGGCTTATTAAATCGTGAGTCTTTGCTATTTCTCACGGAGTTGATAAGAATGAGGAAGCGCCATCTCAGCCTCTGGTCGATGTGCGCTTTGTGACACCGAGGGACCCAGAGACGCGGTGGATGGGAGCAGGGCCCAAAGTCTTGTCTTTGCATCTTGGATTTCCTCCACCACACGCCCACTTAGAAGCATATTTGGTTTTGCTAGTGACATTTCAGAGGGGGAATAAATAGAACATCATTTATAATGAGTTGTGATATATTTGCCATCAGCAAAATCCCAGTGTTGCTGCAGCTGCTTATGCGCCTGAACAGATGAGCCCTTGGAAGGAAAATTAAGGCTGGTCCCTGTGTGGTACGGGGACTGGGGACTCGGAGAGGATTGGAGAAAGCAGTAAGGGCGTATCAGTGATGGGAGAGAGTTTGCACCAAAGGCATTTTTGGTTCCTGCTCTAGTTCAGTCTACAAAAGGGGATCAGTCAGTAATACAGCTTTTTAAAATATTTATGACTGTCCCTTGGCTGTCAGGCATTCTTCTTAGAGCTGCCTGTGTCCTCAGGCCCTCTGCGTATGAGCTGCCCCTCTCCTGCCCTGGAAAGCCAGAGTGAGGTTACCAGCACCGGCAGGCGTGCTCCCCCCAGCCTCAATGCCAGCCTAAAATGAACAGATCTGCACGCTACCAGCGTGCTCTGAATTCCATAAAAAATGTAAGGCATCTTTGAAACATAGTTCTGATTCCAGTATATCAGACTTTTACTTGACAGCCTAGCAACACTACTTTAACTGGACACTTAGATCCATGTAAAAAGTTAGAAATGACTTTGGAATGTTTTAAAGCCTAGTGCCAAGTCCGTGTTAATTGTTAATTTTGTTTGGGTGGTTTGCCTCTTACAGAGGTGTTGGTAGATTTAGTCCCTTTTATGTTTTCCTACTGGGGCAGGAGCCCTGAAGTCCAAGAGCCAAACCTGAATTTCTCATTTGCTTATGTATGAATAGCCAAACATTTCAGTGAATAGATGTGAATTTATATAGACAGAAAATTTGGGTTAGATTCCAATTTGTAGACCTAAAATACCCTCCTAGCATTTCTTTGCTGCCTTCTGGTTTATATTCATATTCTGTACCTTTGAAAATGTGTCTTCATGTTAGCAATTAAAGTTTAGGTCTGTCCAGCCTTTCACAACACTCCTGTAAGATGTCAACAAGATCTGTAAAGCAAAACACATGTTAATATTGTCCTCAAACAGATGAGGAAACAGGCTTAGAGAAGGTGGTTTGTGCCCAGATGCTCTGGAAGCAGCACAGGAGAGTGCTGAATTCACAGCTCCCTCAGGGTCTCAGCTCTTTGCAGTTCACCTTACTCCCAAAGGCATAAAATATGTAAAAGTATGCAGTGATCTACAGACTAATATCCAAAAGGGAAGTTAGGCCCATCAGTTCATTAATATTTCAAAATGTTTGTCAACATTTGACTACAGATGTTTCTCATTGAGAGCAGCATGTTAGAAATTGGGTTCAACAAGCCAGACAGAAATCTAAAATAGTATTATTTCCTCTTGCTTGCTCAGCTGTTGTTTAGGCATCGAAAAGCTATAAAAACTCTTAGGCTTCATCTCTTCAGTTGCTATGTAGAAAATGAAAGCTTAGAAGACAGTTTTTTGACAGAAGTTTGCTAACCTGGACCCAAATTCTGCAGATTTCAGTCATAGTCATTACTTGGTGTCAAGACTCAGATTGAGTCAAGTGGTAAGATTTATGCTTTGTGCAGCTGTGAAAATGTCACAATCATGATATACTGTGATAATTCTTCTGATTTCTATTTTAGTGTTTAAATGGGTGAGAAGAACATTAATTGCTCTTGTTCAGGTGACTTTTGGAAGGACCATCAACAAGTGAGTTGCATGAAATTAATGTTTGAATTAATGCCTTACTCTTTGCCTTAATAGTCAAAACCTTGTGTATAGGTAGCTGGGGATCTGTCTAGCTGAAGGTGTTCTATTTTCTCATTTTGTTCCCATTAGGATTCTAAGATTGGGTAAGGAAAGATTTCTCCCACAGAATGCATGGTGAACCAGATGATAAAGGCTTGAGCTAGCATCAGCATTCTGGGCTGACAGGGTCAGAAAATTCTGTTCTGTAGGGGTGCCTGGCTGGCTCAGTGAGTGGAGTGTGTGACCCTTGATCTCAGGGTTGTGAGTACAAGCCCCAAGCTGGGTGTAGAAATCACTTAAAAAAAATAAAAAACAAAAAAAATCCCAAAAACTTCTGTTCTGTAAAGTTCTGTTTTGATCATGATGATCAGTGCGAGTATCTCGGGTATAGTGTTTTTATGTTGCATGATGAAAATCAGTTTAAGGCTTAGACTTTAAGCCAAAATGAAAGTACGATGAGCATCATATGGCAGGTATTTATTTGGAGGGAAATGCAAACCATATGGATTTGCATACCATATATCTCAGTACTCCAGACTTGCTAATGTTGGGATAACATTAAAGTGGTAATTGCTTTTATTAGTTAATATCTTAATATCCATCTACTAACATACGTGGATATATAACACCATTGTAAGCCGTATGTATATTCTAAGCAATAGTACATTATCCATACACATAAGAGTTTATATCCAGTACTCTTCAAGAGATAAACATTATGACTTCCTGCACAATAAAAATGTGAGTTATTTGTTAAAAGATGAGGGGGGAGAGTAATTTTTTTGTACAGCCAAATATTTTAAGATGAAATTACCAGATTTTCCCAAGTGAAAGTTTAGCTGTTAAAACCATCAGAGTGACCTTGTACATATGTTTATCAGGTAAATCTTATAAATTTTTAAGGGAAACAGTAAAGAACAAGTTATCTTTTTATTTGTTCCCAAATAGAATATATTTTCCTTGTGGTCATAAGCAAAATTTACTTCTATTTCTAAGATTTTTTAACAAAAACAATTAATTAACCTTTGTTGATTCATTAATTAACCTTTGTTAATTAATACCCTTTGTTAATTAATTTTTAATCAATTAGTTGGCTTATTTAGTTGACTTATATCATAGGCTTTTGTTTTAATCCAAAAAGTGGCCTGTTTAATTTACCATTTCAGTCTAAGGCAAACCTCTTGACTGTTATGTAGATAGGCTTTGGATAAAGAAAATTCCAAAATGGCCCTATATATCTCAGTACTCCAGACTTGCTAATTTATTTTCCTTGTCAGTTTCAGCTAATCATGCATACTTTCCTTGCTCCTATTTATGATATTGGCTCTTAATTATAAATGAGCAGTGGCAGTCTGTGTGCGACGAATACATTTGGCAGTTATTTTTATGGGGCTTGGAGCAGAGGCCTCATGTAGAGAATTTTCAGGCCGTTCATTTCAATGGGCTTTTTATCAGGTAGAGAATGATGGAGCACCTGGCCCTTTGCTATTTTTGCCTTTAGCAGAGATGACACATCATAAAATTAAGTGGTAGTACAATATGTGCCTTGTGCCTTGTACCAGCTATAATTTCACGTACCAGAATTGATTCAGAAGCTTCCTATGGTTTTGGCTAATGGAGAGTCAGACTTAAGTTCATAGAAAGTAGTTAGGTGATAGCCTTTGGTAAGAGTCACTTACCTAATTTTAAGTTGCAAATTGAAATTTTCTTACTTAATTTCTTCATGTAGTGCCAGGGAATTACTCAAAACATGACTCCAGGGGAAAAAAAGGTGTCTGCATTTTTATGTAGATTTTTCTTAGGGAGGCAAGTTGGTAGGTTCTCTCTTAAAGCAGAAGTCCCATTAAATTAATACAATTATTTTATTTGGTCTAGATACAAATTGTCCAGTTCTAGGCAGTGTAGGGAAGTGTATCTTAGGAGACATGCAGTTATAAACAGACTTGACACAATTTTAACTCATAGTAGAGTTTAGACAACAGTGGTAACTGATGACTGTGCAAAGTACTATGCTTGAAACCTCTATTTCAGATACTATTTCTGAAAGCCTTACATTGCCCCTCTGAAAATCAGGCTGGGAAGTCAGATTTCTTTAAAGGCCTTTGATTGATTTATTGTTATTCATGAACTGAGTTTGAAATTTCAGGTCTTTCTGGCACCATCAAGAGGATTCTTTTCCCCTCCTCCCCCCGCCCCCCCAATCTTACAATTTCTCTTGGGCTCTTTGAACTGTGCTGTCTCTTGACAGCAGAAATCCTGTAATGGGTTAGAATTTTTCTAATGACTAATGAAACAGTGTTATGTAGAAGACATGGATAACCAGATAAAAGCCATTTATTTGTTAACTGCGCAAGTCAAATGTCTGCCCAAGTTTTCATTCCCAGGGAAATGTGAATTACACTAGATAGCCGTGTGTCTTTCCAGAGTCCTTCACTTGAGGGTGAAAGGTCGTATCTTTTTTTCCCCTTGCCTCGTGAGCCTGTAAAATGCTTTCACTGGGTCAAAGCACTCTGTCCGGCACCATCTGCCATAGCAACACAAGAGACAGTGAAAATAGGTTCTTCCCCAAGACTCCAGGAGCTCAGGGACGTTTTCCACACCACTTTTCACAGACTTTAAATGAATGTGCGTTTTCATTTTAAATCACTTCATAGAGAAATAGGTATATGAAGTACTGTGCACAGTTAGAGTAGTTGCAGGCTTCAGACCAATCAGTTTCCTCTTAGTTCTTGTCCTTACAGATTGGAAGGTACTGCAATTTAATTGGGTAACATTCGGAATGCTTAGCACCGATGGAAGTGTGAGCTCGAGCGATGAATGGTTACCCAGCACCACCAAATAAAAATATCTTTCAGAGCCAGAGTTTAAAAATCCAATTCCTGGTTTATTCATCAAACATGTAGATCGGGCTGTATCTTAACCTCCTCACTGGTAAATGCCTTTTGAGAATAGAAGATAAAATTTTTCAAAACCTCATCCAAGAAACGTTTTTCTCTTAAAAGACAAATCCGGGACACCGTGAACTGGATTTTCTGTGAGCAAATGTTGGTTTACTACATCAATGTTTTCCGGGATGCTTTCTGGCCACATGGGAAATTGGCACCTCCAACCACAATCAGAAGCGAAGAACAAAGTCAGGAAACAAAACAGAGAGCACAGCAGAAGCTGCTTGAGAACATTCCAGGTGAGGCCGCAGTTCTGATCCTGAAATGTACAGACATAAAAGGAGAACTAACTTTATTAAGGTGTTTTTCCATTTATATCTCTCAGAAAACATTATTTACAATGAAAAAAATAATCACCGTGTTTTTTTTTTTTAAACTTGTCCCTTGCCAAGAAATCACACTGAGAATCTTAAGGACAGTAGTGGTTGTAATGTTTTTTTTTAAATAAGACAAATGTTTTAGAACAGATAATAAATTTTGTGCTTTAAAAATCCTGTCAAAGTACACTGTTGAGAGAGGTTAATTTTTAATTGGGTAGCAATGTGTTAAACTTGTAGTTTCTATAAATGCCTGATGTTGAAAAATTCTAAACAAACTTATTTTCTCTTTAAACATTTGAAAGAACTGATCCTTCATGTCCCTCCTGCCCCAGTGCCTTTATTTATTGTGGGTACATTATGTACTGTCTCCTTCACTGAATATTTATGGATTGTAAACATCTTGTCAGTCATAGCACAGAATGTAAACCTAATTTTTCAGATACACTTCAGAGCCTCGTTGGACAGCAAAATGCCCGTCATGGTATAATAAAAATATTCAATGCACTGCAGGAGACAAGAGCCAATAAGCATCTGTTATATGTGAGTAATTTAAAGCCAGCCAGAGGATTAACTATTAATTCAATTTTACATTTCTGTTCACATATGGGGTTGCATACTTAATCATTCTTGTTACTTATAACTCTGAGCCCATTTATTTACTGTGCTTCATTTTTATCTGTTCAGATTTTTATCTGTCAGTTTGGTAAAAGAAGAAGAAAAACGACGATCTGGTGTGCAGTCAGTCTCTCCTTCTCACAGACCAGATGCATGTAACCTTTTTGTATGACTGCTTAGTTTTCCTATTTCAGCAAAATAGACTGTTTCCACATCATCTGTCTGATTATAATACTAAATACTGTTGATGGTGTGAAATGGCAAGGAGACCATGAAATAAATCAATCTGATATTAAATGGAGTTTATATAATATTAGTTCCATTCATTTGAGAATAACTGTTTCATGGAGAATTATCTTAGACCTAAAATTAGACTTTTCTGTTAGACACAGGCGTGTACCCTTGGAGAAAAAAAAAAACACATTTTTCTACTTTTTTTTTCCTTCTTTCTTGGCTTAGGTGCTGATGGAATTGCTGCTAATTGAGTTGTGTCCTGAGCTGAGAAGTCATTTAGATCAACTGAAAGCTGGTCAAATCTGAGACTGCACAAATAAACCACCAGAGAAATGTCTGTGTAACAATAGACATGAAATATTTTCCTCTTTTCCACAGAGGGCTTGATTGAGAACCATATTGATTTTTATGTTAGTTACCTCCCTCTAGTTTTGTGTGAAGTGAGCAGAATTGGTTGGGGAGGGAGGACTTGATGCTGTCACAGGTAACAGAAAAACACACTTCTGTTAATTATTTTTATTTTAATAATAATATAAATAAAGTTCAACACACTGATTGAAATACAAATGTTAATATGTGATAAGAACTTAGGAAATATTTTAAATATTTATGAAACCTGTTTTGTTTTAAAATGAAGAACTATGAATATTGTACAGTTACTTTCCTCACTGAGGACTCTTGAACATTCCTATATTATTTCATGTGTATTGAAGAACATTGTTGTGCAATGCTTTGTGTAAAGTTCTTGTGAAAATTTTATTGTCTTTATTTTTACCAAAGATTTCCCATAGTTTGAAGCATTTGAAGCAATAAAATATAAAAATGAATCACAGAGCTCTGTGATATTTAAGGTGCTTACATCTCAAAAAAATGAGGTTAAAATACATTAGGCAGTTCGAATATTTATCAAGTACCTTTTTTTTTTTTTTTTCCGTCAAAACCACTGTGCACCTAAGGGATTCTACAGGGAAGCATAGAGTTGGCTGCCTTTCTCCAGACATAGGATGACTGTGTGAAAAATCTGACTTTTCGTGTGAATGAGGAGAGCCAAATTAGTGCTTAAAAAGATGTATTCAGGAGAGTAGGACAGGAGCCCAGCTGTGAAGGGTGGGCAGGAATGAGATAGGGAAACAGAGGTGGGAAAAGACTTCAGGGACTTTAGGGACTTGATTATATCATCGGGTCTTGTGGACTTGTGGGGCGTTAGGTGAGATCCAGGGTACAGGTGTTTTGTTACCAATAGTGGGGCCATGAACAAGTCACTTAATAAATGTTCACCATCTACCACACAGTGATAATAAAACACTTGCCTCGTTATAGCTCCCAGGAACATTGAAAACAAAATAATGGACAAAAATTCAGTTTGAAATCCATGAAAGAAAAATAGTCTCTATACTAAAGTGGTATTGATTATGACATTGCTAGGTCATACTTGATACAAAACATAAGTTCTAAAAGGTTAATGATTAAAAATTAGTAAACCAAATTTTATCTTTGGGATTCTTTTAGTCATAGCTCTTTGATCCTTTTTTTTCCCAAAACAGGATGATATTTGACACTTCAGGAAAAAAAAAAAGTTGGCTGTTTGTATGAATAAGAATTACCCTTCATAGGAATGTAGAAAAGACACATTCAGATAAGAGAAGCAAATTAAATCACCAAGCCTCAGGAGGTCATCATAACCCAGTTACTGGTAATGTTCACCTTATGTGTAATTAAACCATAGCAGTTACAAGATTATACTGCAAATGAGAAAAAGAACTGTTTTGACTCCTCAATCTTTTTTTAAGGTAAGTTTTAACTTTTTCATGAGCTATCAGCTATACGGACTCTTAAAAGTTTTGTTTTTTTGTCTTAAGATTAATGATCTGGAAGCCTCAGCTCACTTGAATTAAAGAGTGACTGACTACACTCACAGGTCACGGTGTGCGCCCCGGTCTGCAGCAGGTTTGCAAGGGCTCATCAGTGCCAGAAGTACCCCCTTTATGGTAACTACAATAAACTGAAATTTTAAATGCTGTGTTGAATTTACTGAAGACATTTAAGCATAGCATATTACCACATATGACACATGTCAAATTCCTGCATTTGAGACTTCTCAGACCTGTATTTTAATGGCAGTCAAAAAAGTGATCTTTGGCATGAAGGAAGATTTGCATATCGTTTAAATGTGCTGTTACAGCCAACAAGCACTGCCTTGTTACATTCCTAGTTTAGGGTTCTTACAGGCTTAAGGGACTGGATTAAGCGTGGAGAAAAGAATATTGGTTGGGAATTTAGATTCAGACGGTTGAAGGAATATTATATATGGATGGTATTAGGAGAGCAAGAGCAAAGCAAGTGGGCTTATACTGTAGAAGAGATGTAAGCTAGGTAGTATGAAATCTTATAAGGGTTTTTGATGAATTGAATCATGTTCCTGGAGGAAAATAGGGAGTCTTCAGTAGAGATTTTTAAAAGAAAAGGGATTAGTTTTCAGGAATGGCTTAAGTTTATACATCTTAAGAGATTTAAGGGAGAAGTATGTTATCTTTTGAGGGTATCTCACAGACCTAAGTCTGTTGAAATTGCTTTCCTTTTTATAGCTTGGCAAAATGAAGTTCAAGTAACATAGACAAACCAGAACATGAGAGGAGAGCAAGTAATTTTCCACCATACATACTTCTTTAGTAACTGGTACCTACGGATTAATTATACTAAGATGAGATCCTGTTTAAATCCACCTTTGGAAAGGACAATAGTGATTTATAAAATAAAGCTACATCAGTGTAGTATGTTTACAGAGAAGGTGTTGATAAGGTGTCTTTAAGAGATTGTTTACAGTGTATCTGTTTCAGACATATATTGCTATACAGTCTTCTCCATATGCATATATCCTATTATTTATATTGTCAACTTTTGTTTTTATAAACCTCATTAATGCAAGGAAAGCCTAATTTAAATTTTTAACATACTTAGATACCATTCTTATATTGAGAGATTATTTAATTGAGATGTTTTTCACATTTTATTTTTGCTTTGAAATGAATCTTGAGGTTTTTTAAAATCTAGCAAATGAGTCTAAGCACAAAGAAATATCTCTCTTAATTATATCAGGACTATAGCAGTTGTCATACTGATTAAGATCTTTAAGGGAAGAGTCTAAGCAATTTCTTAAATGTACTTTTTTTGAAGTTTATAATAAATTATCCAGTTATTTAAAAGAGTTTCTTTTAAGAATACAGATGTCCCAAAAGACTTAGTATAGTCTTAGCTTAATTGCTTCAGAAGTATAAATGCTACACGAATTTATTAAAAAACATTTGAAAGTTTCTTTAAATTCTTTTTATTCAATAGTTTTACTAATCTTAAAGATTTTTTAATGTTTGTTTATTTTTGAGAGAGAGACAGAGTGCGAGCAGAGGAGGGGCAGAGAGAGAGAGAGACACAGAATCTGAAGCAGGCTCCAGGCTCCAAGCTGTCAACACAGAGCCTGACGCAGAGCTCAAATTCACACACGGCGAAATCATAACCTGAGACGAAGTTGGATGCTCAACTGACTGAGCCACCCAGGTGTCCCTTAAATTAAAGAAATTTTAATGAAAAACAACAAATTAAAATAATCTATCAAAAATTCACAAAATATTTTTATAAGTTTGTAGCATTTATACTTTTGAAGTTATTAAAGCTAAGACTGCACTAAATCTTTTAAACACTCTGTGCTTAAAATAATAATTTACTTTAGGGAGTGGTTTTCTCTATTTGATATGATCTAGGCCAGTCTATAGGCCAAGAGCTGGATCTTAAAGGACTCTTTTAACAATCAGATCCTATAGCTAAGGTTCCGAGTTATAAAATTACAGATTTAAGAATGAAGGTAACATGTCATCAATAGAATACCCAGGATATTGTAACTTGGAATGCGGAAAATAGCGGAACAACATAGCGATGATAAAAATACACACGTTCTAAGGTTCCAGGGTTGATGGTCTTTGTGGAAATGCCTTATGATCTAAATTCTTTGATGAATAAGTAAACAGTGAAGTTCATCTGCCAATGCAGGATTCAGACGACACGCCTTAAAATCAAAGATAGTTATTTAGATACATTTTGAATTGTTGGGTCTTTCTTTTTTTCTTCCTTTTAAAAAGTTTTTTTTTTTTTTTTTTAAGAAAAATGACTTCAAGGTAGATCCTTAAGATACATTTCTATTTTGATTTCTTGATAAAGGAAGTTCAAATTAGCCTACGCAAGCAGATCACCCTGAAAATTACCATGCTGTTGACACTTGAAAGAAAATTTTATCAGTGCCAAGAAAAGGAATTTACACACTGATGATAGCATTCTATGTTAGGAATTATTAAATAACATGGAAAGCATTAACATTTGATCTCAAACTCGCTATTATCATTATATGAATACCAGCATCTATGAGAGAATCTTACTTAAAATAATTTGTTATGATAAATAGCGTTAAGTAATAGTGCATATAACTGCATAGAATGTCAAGTATCTGGAAGAGACATCAGAGATCATTATCTCATCTAGACCATACTCCATGCACTAATTGTCCCTTCAGTACCTATAACAGTTGGTCACTAGATATTTGCTTGGTTGCTAAGTTACCATCTTATAGGAAAACTTTTGTTTCTGTTTATTTCTTGAACAGTTGCATTAGATTCTTCTTTATACTAGCTAAAGTTTCCTTCCATATGCGTTAGAATCAGTCCAGGTCCTAGGACAATATATAAAGCTGGTTTCATGGAGACCTTGAGGGTAAGGTGGTTGGCAGTCCCCATCCTGACAGTGACAGAGCTGAGAGCAAGTGTGGATCTCCTGACTGCAGGCTAGTCCCCCCGTCTCGGCATCACCCAGGGCTTTATCTTTTCCACGTTTAGCACACTGCCTTTGGCTATCATTCTACTCCCTGCCCCTCTGTTCCTTTTCTGTAGGACAGCCTTTCAGTCTGGTGAAGACCACTGTCTGGACTCCTTTTGTTTCTAAATAAAATACTCAGTTGATACTCATGAGACAGGATTCCAGACCCTTCATTGGCCTACAACTTTTGAATCTTCTCCCTTTTTAAAAGCATCTCCTGTAAAATGCAATGGCCAAAATTGAGTAATGGGGATATTATCTCCCACCATGGGGAAAATAGTTTTAAGATTGCAATCTGTTTGTTTTGCTGTTTTATTTAGGATGAACATAGACTACATATCAGGATATTGTTGACCCAGTTTTTTTTCTGCTTATATTTATTTAGAAAAGACATGAAGTGTAGCACAGAATTTGAAATAGACTTGGTTTGGAAATCAGTGTAAAACAGAAAATGTTTATATTTTATAAAAAGTTAAAGACCACTATTTTTCATACTATTAAAATGATTTAGTGGTAAATATCTCAGTTGTATCTGTGTGCTGTATTCCTGTATGTATGTGTTGATATGGGCATAATGCTCTGGAAATTTTAATTTCAAACATTAATTTAGGGTTTCCAAAACTTGCCTGCCCACTGTAGTAGGCCTGGAGAGCTTTCAGTGAATACACTTGTGTTGCGCTCCCAGAGAACAGGATTTAATTGTTCTGAAATAAGACTGGGGCTTTGGAATTTGTTAAAAATCCCCAGGTGATTTTAATATGCAGATAAGTTTGGGAACCACTGCTGTTGAATGGTCAGATTCAGGCAGAGGACTCGGAAAATTGTTCCTTGCCTTGTTCACGTGCTCCAGCTAAACAACTTGTGTGCCCCATGAATTCCTTTATACATTTTAAGAAGATATAATTCTCGTTTGGATTTCATGAATGTCGTGGACCTAAGACATGCACAGTTTAGTGTGAGTGTCTTTATTTTTTTTAAAAAAAACTTTACTTGCAGTTACTATTCATGATGATCCCCCCCACCTTCTCACTCCCTTCCTACTTTCTAAGTTGCTTGATTTTTATAAGTGAAATCCATTTGGGAGCTAAACCAAATGGATTAAAACAAGGAATCTTACTTCAACTGATTATCTCAAACTCATGAATGAGTTTGGTAGTGTGTAGTAAGGTGTGGTCAATGTCATGCATGAAAACATTTTTAAAAACTTATTTCAGAGCATCTGGGTGGCTCAGTTGGTTAAGTGTCTGACTCTTGGTTTTGGCTCAGGTCATGATCTCACAGTTTGTGAGTTTGAGCCCCACATCGGGCTCTGTGGTCTCAGCTTGGGATTCTCTCTCTCTCCCTTTCTCTCTGCCCCTTCCTCTCTTTCTCTCTTGCTCTGTCTCTCTCGCTTTCTCTTTCTCTCTCTCGCTCTCTCTCAGGATAAATAAACTTAAAAAAAACAACTATTTCATTAAAGTACTAGAATGAGAGCAGGTTCACACTTCTGGGTAGATGGAAGGCATGAATATTCTGGCTCTAAGGTCTTGGTCTTGGTGCTGGGCTATAGGCTGCAGAGGGTGGCAGGGTGAGAGAATAATTTGCATTAAAGTGGAACTTTTATCATCTGAGTTCAATTGTGCTAATAAGAATCTATCAGAATTGTCTGCAAATAATCCGTGTGTCTGACAAACTATCCTAGACAGATTATCTGTGCAATAATAATTAAGTAGGAAAACTACTAATCCATAAAGATGACCAAGACTTAACAGAAAGCTCAGAAATTTCTACTTGGGTCGATTTGTTTGTTCTTAGGCTTACTTACTTTAGAATAGTAGTGTTTTGCTGTTGCTTCATCCTTCGTGACACCCAAGCCAAGCTGAAGACATCGGGCATGGTAGAAGGAAGCCATGGCCATGCCTCTGATGATGAATTCCGGGAGACAGTCCGTGACCTGGGCTATCATGGGGATGTCATGAACCTCATCATAGTCAGCAATCCTGTTGTGATATTTAATTGTGAAATTAAAAAGGACATGAGTTCTGGTTTACATTTTCACAAATGATATGTCTAGAAATGGTCCTGGTGCCCAAAGTGATTTCCCTATTTCCACCTGTTGGAGAACTGAGTTGTGGTATTTGTTTTCTGGTGAAGGGTAAATAAAACCACCAGTTATAACCAGGGGAAGAGGAGCTACCAAGGAGTTTATTTCACAGCTTGTCTATAATACTTGTCAGGCTTAATGATCACTAGAAAACAAAATGTTTATTTTCTTATAGTAATAATATTAAAAACAGTTTTTTAATATTTATTTTTGAGAGAGTATGAGTGGGGAAGGGGCAGATAGAGGTAGACAGAGAATCTGAATCAGGCTCCAGGCTCTGAGCTGTCAGTATAGAACCCAATGTGTGGCTCAAATCCATGAACCATGAGATCATGACCTGAGCTGAAGTTGGATGCTTAACCAACTGAGCCACCCAGGTGCCCCATAATAATAATATTTTAAACTTAATAACACCTTGCAGATTTAAACAATAGGGAAAAGTAATTTTCTATTTCTTTGAATAATTTATTCAAACATTGACCTTAAATTTGGACTTTAGTCACATAGGATCAGGAAACATCTCAAGAAACTTACATATCTGTGTTTAAAAAAAAATGGGCAAAAAGAAAGGTCCTCCTTTATAACCCTGGCACAAGTCTAGAGAGTTGTGTGACAGTGGGATCTACTTAATTCCATGTCACCCATAATATGAGGAAAAGGAATGTGGATAATAATGGAAAGTTTGAAAGATTTTAAAGTTTTGGTTTTCACTAGATGGGTACTTAGTGATTAGGGACTTCGGGGACCACACTTTTAAGTGGCCTGCTCCCTGGGAGCCATGTTGTTGGGCAGAGGGTGGAACCAGCTCCTTCATGCAGTGCTGTAGATGGCTGCCTCACACTGGGCTAGAGAGGAGGGGGTCCTGGGGCTCTGTCAGGCATTATTGGGAGGGAAATACATCGGCATGGCCTTAGAGCCTCTCTCGGGGACATCCACGTGTTTCTCCTGGTATATTGTGTTTGTCCATTATGAGTAAATAAATATGGGGAAAGTACACGGGCTCAGAGAAGAGAAATCTCATAAGGTGTTAATGTTGGCATCTTTCAACCATTATTCTCACTATACGATCTTTATCAAACTATCTTGCAATTGGGCAGTCATTGAACATGTGGCTGAAGAGACTAGGAAGAAATTATAGTATATTTAATAAGTATTTCTGATATGCTAAGCTGTGTGAAGTACTTTATATGCTCTATTTTAGTAATCCTGTGGAAGTATTTTCTTCTTTATGAAAAAGGAAATCAGTGCCCCCCAAAGTTAAACTTGATTAAGATCATCAGCTGGTACATAGAGCAAATGACACTGAAATCCTGAAGACTAATGGACAGAATTCTATCCCATAGCTGGCCACTGGCTACATGTGGCTATTTGAATTAATTAAAATCGAATGAAATGTAACAGTTGAGCCCTAAGTTGCACTCACCACATTTCAAGTGCTTACTAGCCATCATTTCCAATATTGTGGCAAGTCCTGTTGAACAGACCTGGCAGAGAACATCTAGGAGGAGGTTTTGGGAATACTTTTATCCAGCTTATTTACCTTTTGGAAAATGTAACGCACTTAGTAAAAAATTTCATCTTATAGTAATACTCCACAAGATTCCCTTGAGCGTAGACGTTTCCACGTTCTGCGGCTTCCCGTAAGCACTGCAAGGCAGCTTCGGGGTCCCGGTGGATGCCTTGTCCATAAAGGTACATCAGCCCAAGCGCACCCTGGGACTCCAGGTTCCCATTGCCACATGCTTCTGAATGCCAATAAAATGCCTAAGAAAAAGCACAATTTCATCTTCTTTGTTACCCACCTGGCAAAATTATAAGGGAATACTGGAAAGAAAAAAATCTCTAATTATAAGATAGTACTAGTAACTTATCTCTAGGAAACAGTTTTAGCACCTCGTGTGTTATTTCAGGTTAGCACCAATTTCACATATCCAAAAGAGCGTGTTAAGGTGAGCCCACCTGTTTTCTACCCAGAGCATAGGTTAGAGGTCACAGCCTAGACAGTTCAGCTGTCTCAGGATTCAAGATTTTCACATGTTCCCAGAGGAAGGATCAGAAAGGTAGGAAGTAGGAACTAAGTGTCTGCTGAGACATCTGCACTGAGGCCCAGCAGGGAGCGGAGAGCTGCTGATGCTGAGATCTCAGAGATGGTGCCTGTCCACACCAAAGGCAGCCAAGATAAAAGCTGCATGTGGTCGCAAGCACGTTTGCTCAATACTCCGCTACAGTGAATTCAAATTAGTTCAAAAAATTATTTCCAAGTGGCTGCTTAATTATCTGAAGAGGGTCGTGGTTGGTTTGTGTTCCTTGTAAGATTGTTCTTCATGCCTCTTACACGTAGGACTTGGCCCTACATTTCCTTCAAACTATAGGATTTCTTGGAAAATGTTTCAGTCATTGATGATTAAAGAGATTGTATTTCTGTAAAAATTGTAAATGGGTTCAATTTTCAACTCATTTTTTGGTGTGTATTTTACTTACTAGCATCATTACTTTCTCAGAACAAATTAATTTATTCACATAATAGGATTTGGGCTATATTTTAGGACTTTTAGCTTTCATTGTATAAAATATTTTGTATGTGTGGCTCTTTATAGTGTAGAAAGTGCTCTCACATCTGTGGAATCCTTTGGAAGAGGTGGGGAAAAGGTAAATCATAGATAAGTAAAGCATAAAATCAGCCTTGAGATCCCAAAATGTAAACCTTCTTTACATTTTAAAGAAATATAAGAGATCTTTAAAACTGGACACTCATTCTTTACCACCATCCATTCAAAAAAGAAATTATTGTTATTTCTGAAATAAATATTAATCTATGTGTAGTACTAGCATTAAAAACAAATAGATCAGTGTTACCTTTTCTAATTCTTTGGGTTCTTTTGTTGAATAATATAATCCTAGGATACTTTGAGCTTTCACACTAGCTTTTGGATTTCCATTGTCTGCAGCAAAAAGCCACAATCTGAAAAACGGACAAGTTATTCTTTGTGTCAGCATTTGATTAAAAAGAAAAAAAAAACCCTTATTTTCAGGTAAGACTACCTTTCAGCTTCCTCATCTGATCGTTTGACACCTTTTCCTTCATAGTAAGCTCTTCCAAGGTTGTAGGCAGCTGCAAATTGTAGGTGTCTTGCTTTGGGACATGGAGAATCAATGATTTTCTTCATATATTCCACTCCTTTTTCCTTCCACAAAGGAAAAAGAACAAACAAACAAACCCTAGTTTTTCGTTTTATCCAAACTAAATTCTTTTTCCTAATAATGTTTTAATATCTGACATGATGTTCGATGTCATGGGTCTAAAGGCATGATGGTTGCCCTTTAGTCTACAGAGCTGGAAATAAGGGAGATAGGGAGGAAGGGAAGGGAAGGGAGGAGAGGGAGGGAGAGAGGGAGAGAAAGAAGGAAGGGTACATCTCCTGAGTAGGCATTCCCAAATCTCTGCGATCTAAGGGATATAAGGCATTTCCCTCATGTTTTAGCTTCTGCAGTTAGATTATGTTTCAGTATGATTTCCTTTTTTCCCTCCTCCCTCCTTACTCTGGATGGGCACACTTGTTAAAACTTATTAAAGGACAAGAATAGCTGCAACTTCTTCCACGTTTTCAGTTAGAGAACACTTGTGAGCCCCAAACACTATGTTCTCCCTTGAAGCACACTAAGTGATAGTTTACACCCCATATGCTACTCATATGACATCTGCATAGTCACAAAGACCACACGGAAGCTGTTGCCTCATCCAAAATATCCATCAGACACAAACTTTCAAACGTCATGCCCGAGAATGTTTGACAACCAAACATATTTTCTATACACTCCATTCTAGCTTTTACCCTTCACTGCTCTCTCCAAGTTCTCTTGCTGGCTAAATACCACAGTGATAGAAGATAAAGGTGTTTGCCTTCTAGTGAGTCCCAATTTATAGAGATTTGTTTTTGTGAATGTGTGATGTACATATTTGCCTTTTTTCCCCCTAAACCTTATAGAACTTACTAGTGGTCGAATGAGGTGGTTGTGTAAATCCTTCCACAACTAGCTATGACTAAATCTGGAGCAGACATTAAAAAAAAATTTTTTTTTAAGGCACTGGAAAGTTTACCCGAGCACACACAAGCTGGAGGAGAGATTACTCTTAAAAACTGCAACTGGAAGGGATCCATGAAGTTCAGTGAACCTCAGGCTGGATAAACCCAAAGTAGCTTTCCTAGGCATACATCAAGGTCAAAGTGCTGAAAGCCAAAGAAATCTTGAAAGCGGCCAGAGATCTTGAAAGCAACCAGAGAAAAATCATACATGATACAAGGAGAAGAACGATATAATTAGTATTTAAGATTGAAATCATGTCATGCATCTTTTCTGACCACAAGAGCATGAAACTAGAAATAATCACAAGAAAAAAATAGGGGAAAAAACACGTGGAGGCTAAACAACATGATACTGAACAACCAATAGGTCAACAAAGCAAAGAAATCAAAATAATTTGGAGACAAATGAATATGAAAACAACAAAATCTTGGGATACAGCAAAGGCAGTTCTCAGAGGAAAATACATAGTGATACATGCCTACCTACCTCAAGAAACAAGAAAAAACTCAATACAACCTAACCTTATATCTAAAGGAACTTAAAAAAAGAACAAGCCCAAGGTAAAAGGATGTTAAAAAAGGAAATGATAAAGATCAGAGCAGAAATAAATGACACAAGAGACAAAAAATGAATGAAACCAAGAGCTAGTTCTGTGAAAAGATAAACATATGCCAAATAATTGGACAACCTTGAAGAAATGGATAAATTGCTAGAAACACAATCTTCTGAAACTGAATCAAGAAGAAATAAAAAATCTGAATAGGTTGATTACTATTAATGAAACTGAATCAGTAATCAAAAAAACCTAAAAGTCCAGGAACAGATGGCTTCACAGATGAATTCTACCAAACATTTAAAGAAGAGTTAAAACCTATTCTCCTTAAATGATTCCAAATAGAAGAGGAAGGAAAGGTTCCATTATGCATTCTGTGAGGCCAGTGTTGCCCTGATACCAAAACCAGATAAAGACACCACAGAAAAAGAAAATTACAGGCCAATATCCCTGATGAACATAGATGCAAAAATCCTCAACAAAATATTAGCAAGCTGTACCCAACAATACATTAAAAGGATCATTCACCACAATCAAGTAGGATTTATTCCAAGGATGCAAGGATGGTTCAATATTTACAAATCAACCATGTGAGAAACACCATGACCAAAATAAAGGATGTAAATCCTGTGATCATCCCAATAAATGCAGAAAAAGCATCTGATAAAATTCAATGTCCATTCATAATAAGAACTCTAAACAGGGGTGCCTGGGTGGCTCAGTCAGTTAAGTGTCCGACTTTGGCTCAGGTCATTATCTCATGGTTCATGGGTTCGAGCCCCGTGTCAGGTTCTGTGCTAATAGCTATCTCAGAGCCTGTAGCCTGTTTTGGATTCTGTATCTCCCTCTCTCTCTGACCCTCCCTGCTCACGCTGTTTGTGTGTGTCTCTCTCTCAGAAATAAATTTTTAAAAAATTTTAAAAAAAACAGCTCTGAACAAAGTCAGTTTGGAGAAAACATACCTCAACAGGCCTATATGAAAAACTCACACTGACATCTTACTCAATATGATCTTAGCTTTTTCTAAGGTCAGGAATAAGCCCAGGATGTCCACTCTCACCACTTGTATTCAACATAGTACTGGAAGTCCTAGCCACAGCAATCAGATAAGAAAAAGGAGTATTCATTTTGGTAAACAAAAAGTTAAGCTGTCACTATTGGCAGATGACTGTGATACTTTACATAGAAAACCTACAGGCTCTATCAAAAACCTGTTAGAATAAGCGAATTCAGTAAATTTGCAGGATACAAAATTAACGCTCAGAAATTAGTAATATGCCTATACACTAATAAGAAGGTATCAGAAAGAGAAATTAAGAAACTACATTTACAGTTGTACCAAAAAGAATAAAATGCCTAGGAGGTTAATCAAAGAGGTGAAAAATGTGTACTGTGAAAACTATAAAACATTGATGAAGGAAATTGAAGATGACACAAACAAATGGAAAGATATTCCATGCTCCTAGATTTGAAAAATTAACATTGTTAAAATGTATGTTACCCCAAACAATCTATAGATTCAGTGCAATCCCTATCACAATACCAATAGCATTTTTCATAAAAACTAGAATAAAAATTACCAAAAATTTGCATGGAACTGCAAAAAATCCTGAAGAGCCAAAGCAACCTCAATAAAGAACAAAGCTGGAGGTATCACAATTCCAGATTTCAAGGTATACTATACAAAGCTTTAGTAATCAAAACAGTATGTGTGTAAATAGATACATAGATCAGTGGAACAGAAGAGAGAAACTGGAATGAAACCCACAATTATATGGTCAAATAATCTATGACAAAGGAGGCAAGAATATACAATGAAAAATAGTCTGCTTTTTGCGAAAACTGGACAGCTACATGTAAAAGAATGAAACTGGACCACTTTCTGATACCATACAAAAAAATAAAAGACTAAAGACTTAAATGTGAGACCTAAAACCATAAAATTAATAGAAAACAGGCTGCGCTTTCTCTGGCATTGACCATAGAGACATTTTTCTATATATGTCTGCTAAGACAAGGGAGGAAAAACCAAAATAAACTATTTGGACTGTATCAAAATAAAAAGCTTTTGCAGCACAGTGAAGAAAACCACCACCAAAACAAAAAGGCCAAAAACCTACTCAGTGGGAGAATATATTTGCAAATGATATATCTGATAAACTGTTAATATCCAAAATATATAAAGAACTTATCCAACTCTTTCACACACACAAAAAAATCCAATTAGAAAATGTGCAGAGGACCATTTTTCTGAAGAAGACATCAAATGGCCAACAGATACATGAAAAGGAGCTCAACATCACTCTTCATCAGCGAAATGTAAATCAAAACCACCATGAGACATCACCTTGGAGCTGTTAGAGTGACTAAAATTAAAAAGACAAGAAATAACAAGTGTTGGTGAGGATGTAGAGAAAAAGAAACCCTTGTTCACTGTTGGTGGGAATGTAAATTGTTCCAGCCAATTTACATTATACTGTATAATGTAAATTATACAGCCAATTATACTGTGGAAAACAGTATGATTTCAAAAAATTAAAAATGGAACTACCATATGATTCATAATTCCAGTACTGGATATTTACCCAAAGATAAAGAAAATGGTAATTTGAAAGGATCTGTCTACTTCTTTGTTTATTGGAGAATCATTTACAATAACCAAGATATGGAAGAGTCCACTGATTGATGAATGGATAAGGAAGATGTGATGCATATATATATGTATGTACACACACACTGACCTACTACTCAGCCATAAAAAAAGGATGAGATTGTGTCATTTGTAACAACATGGACGGACTTAGAGGGTATTATGCTAGCTAAGTAAGTCAGACTGAGAAAGACAAATACCATATGATTTCATTCATATGTGGCATCTAAAAAAATAAATAAGCAGAATCAGACCTGTAAATACAGAGAACAAACATGCTTTGTGGATGGGAGGGGGTGGGGGAATGGGTAAAATTGGTGAAGGGGAGTAGGAGATGCAGACTTCCAGTTATATAATAAATGTCACAGGAATAAGAGTCATGAGGAATATAGTCAATGATATTGTAATACTGCGGTATGGTGATAGATGGTAGCTACTTTTGTGATAAGCATACCATAATGTATAAACTTGTCTAATCACTATGTTGTACACCTGAAACTAATGTAATATTGTCAACTCACAAAAAGTTATAAATTCCCAGTTATAAATAAATCCTGGGAATGTAATGGACAGCCTTGAGACTAGTTGACAACGCTGAGTTATATATTTGAAAATGTTACGAGAGTAGATCTTAAAATTTCTAGTCATAAGAAAAGTTTGTAACTATGTGAGGTGATGGATGTCAACTAGCTTTATTGTGATAATCATTTTTCAATATACACATGTCAAATTACTATGTTGTACAGCTTAATACAATGTTATATGTCAATTACATCTCAGTAAAACTGATGGGGTGAGGAGCAATGTAAGTAGTGACTGACTTCTCATGAGAATTAATGAAAGCCAGAAGATTTGAGAGTAGCATTTTTTAAAAAAGTTTATTCATTTTGAGAGAAACAGGGAGAGAAAGAATCCCCAGTCTGACAGTGCAGATCCTGATGCGGGGTTCCAACCCACAAACTGTGAGATCATGACCTGAGCCAAAGCCAAGAGTCAATCACTCAACCCACTGAGCCACCCAGGCGCCCCAAGAATAGCATTTTTAAAGGGTGGAAAAGAAAAACTCAACCAGCAAAAACAATTTCTAATAAATGAAGGTAGATTAAAGACATTTTTAGATTATCAAAATCAGAGATAATTCATCATCTGCAAATAGTACTATAAGAAATTCCCTTCAAAGGAATTCTTCAGGTCAAAAGGAAAGGAGTATGGTGACAGATGGCTACTCAAGTTGATAGGAAGGAGTGAAGAGTTCCAGAAATGCTAAGTAGGTATATATACTTTTATATACTTATATGTTAGTATATAAAAGATATACATACATATACATGTGCATATAATGGATTTTCCTCTTAGTATCTTCAAAATACATATGATTAGAGCAAAAATTAGAACACTTTTATGTTTGGAGATTTATAATATAAATTTAAGTATAGAATGACAGCACTAAAGATTGGGGTGGGTGGGTACATGGAAGCATACTCATTCAAGGTTTCTATATTTTACCTGAAGTAATTCAATATAAAATCCTTGTCAGTTGTGATAAATTAAATGTGCATATTGTAATCTCTAGAGCAACTACTACTAAAAAGAGTATATATAACTAGAAAATAAGTAAATTAAAAAGTTGATCAAACCATTCCATCACCATTTCTCACAGATATGAAATAGCAGTTTTATGACTTGCTAAATACCCATACGTCTGTGTATATCTATTTCTGGACTCTTGTTCTTTTGATCTCTGCCAATTCGTGAACAAAAACCACATTGTTTTAAATACTATAGATAAATAATTGGCTTTCTGCTCTTTCATATGAATTCTAGAATCAGCTTGCCACATGCCATTAAAAAACTTGTAGAGAATTTGATTCTGATTGCATTTAACATGTGAAGTCTGGGGAGTGGGTTAGAGGGGTGCTTGGGTGGCTCAGTCAGTTCTGCGTCTGACTCTTATACTCCGCTCAGGTCATGATCTCATCGTTTGTGACTTTGAGTCCCACATCAGGCTCTGTGCTGACAGTGTGGAGCCAGCTTAGGATTCTCTCTCCTCTCTCCCCCTCCCCTGCTCACTCTTTTTTTAAGTAAACTTAAAAAATTTTTTTAAATCTGGGGAGTGAGTTAGAGGACAGATGTCGAAAAGTAATGTCTCTGGGAAACAGAAGCACAGTTGCCTGATGAGTCCATAGACTGTGAATTTCCTAAGTCAAATCTCCTACAACCTGGCCCTAAATTACACTCAAATGTTACTGTCTTATGCTAAAGAAAGTGTTTAAAAACCTTGTTAGAATTGTGAGATGGGGAAAGCAAATCTAAAACAGGTGACCTTGTCCTTAGTGCAGTTTGTTTCAGCCAAAATTTGGTTGCTTTATCCATTCCCTCCACCTTCCATGCGATTTCCAGTTTCCATCTGTAGCTCCCCCAGGTGTTAGAGCCTACATGTGATTATCATCTCTCTGGGGTAATAATGACCTTTGCTCCCTGAAGAAAACAGTTCAAATCTACCACACAAAGCATATATGGTTCAACCAAAGTCTGGACCAAATTAGTATCAAGAACAGTTTGGTAAATAAAAGAAAGGGATGAAAATTAAAAGAGCTCTTTGCCCCTTTACTCTGAGTTAAAGGTATGATCAACTAGTGTAATTCTAGGTAAGAAGGGATCTCCAAAGGCCATCTTCCTTGTCTCCTCTGGCCTCCATCTGTGATCACATTCAAGCCATTCTCTTTGGGAGTGGCCATATGCCACTTTCCCCGCCAACTTTCCTGCTTCCTCTACTTCTTCACGTCCTTAATTATTGCCTTTTAGGCTTACTCTGGGTCTGTCACCATACTCACCCCTTTGTTCCTCTTTCCCTCCTCAACACTCCTTTATCTGGCAAATAAACCATTTCTCTGCCTACTCACATGCACTCAGGCAGCTGCACATGGCTGGAAATAAACACAGCCATGGTGACAGGTCCTTTAAACTTAGGGTTTCAAATTCCAGAGTGAGCTCTCAGCCCTGGCAAACAGTACCATCAGTTTGTCCCCTCAGTTTTCTCTCTCACTTACCTGGTAGAGAAGATACTATTTCAAACTTTATCCTGTCTCTTCATGCTTTAACTGCCCCTGCCCTCCGTTCCCTCGTTCTCAGCTCATGGCTTCACCTTTTGAAAATGTTTATATTTTTATTAAAAAACATAGAGTGGTTCATGACTTTGTGAGTCATCCTTGCACGCAGGGACTATGCTAATTTTCTCTGTCATTCCAATTTTAGTATACATAACTGCTGAAGCGAGTACATGGCTTTGCTTTTATTTCACTGAGAAAACAAAATCAAAAAACTGAATCTGTGAACTTACCTAATTCATCATTTCCCCCTCTCTGCTATATCTTGTGTATCAACTTAGAAGTACACTGTGGTATCTCTGAACCAGGGAGGACCCTTCCTCGAGTCCATGACCTCCTCATTAGTACACATGCATTTGTTCTGCTGTATGAGAAATCTTAGTGCTTATGCCTTCCTCCTCACCTCCATGCATTTCCTCAGCCCACTCTCACCTTGGTCCCTTATCCCTCCACTGAAAAGGCTTTTGTCAGGGTCTCCAGTGAGATTCATCTTAATGTGCCTAATAGTAAGTGCTCAGTTTTCATTATATTCACCTCAGCAGAATTTGAGACAGATGGTTCCTCCCTCCTCGAAACAGTTGCATCATCTGACTTCCAGATCACCACACGCTCCTCATCTTCCTCCATTTTCCCTGCTCCTCCTCATTCTCCTTTGCTGGCTGTTCTTTCCCCTCTGACCATGAAATATCAGAGGGCTCCCCGTCTCTGTTCCTGGCCTTTTCCTCTTCTCTGCATTCACTCATTGAGCAACCATGTCCAAATCCGGTGCCATAACTACCATGCTCCACCGACAGCCCGCCACTGATTTCTCCAGTCCTGATGGCATCACTGGGTTCCAGACTGTCGACCTGTCCTCTCTGCACTGGTGACTTAACACATACTTCACAAGTAACATTGAAACATAAACGCTTAGGTTTTCTTGTCACTGTCAAGTCCCAAACCTTCTCCTTCCTCATTGATCCCATTGTTGTTAAATGGCAGCATCACCCTTGACTCCTCCCCTTATTTATTATTATTTATTACTCTTGCCCCTCTCCCAGTCCATCAGAAGGTCTGTATCCTCTAACGAGTATATTCTAGATCTGTCCACTTTTCTCTATTTCCACGGTGGTACTTTAGTTAAAGTGGTTTTATCTGAACTGCAGTGGCTTCCCAATTGGCTTCCTGCTTCTATTCCTTCCATTCAATCCCCACAGAAGAGACAAAATGATTTTTTTAATGGTAATCATATTGGTTTCACTCCCTTTCAGTGTTTTCACATTACATCGATGACACAAGCCAAACTCTTGGTCCTCGTTTTCCAAGTTCCATGTGGTTTGACCCTGTCTCACTGGTTTGACTACACTCCAGCTTTCCCCCCTTTCCTCCTCAGGGCTTAACACTAGCTATTTCCTCTACCTGAATGTGATTTTCCCAGACCTACCTACATGGTCTCTCCCTCTTGTTACTTGGTTCTTATTTCAGGTGTCAGACGAAATGATGGAAAAACACAGGGACGAGCACTATAATCCCAGGATGAAATGTTAGGGAGTGACCAGTGACGAGGAAATTGATAGAATGAGGAAAGCCAGTGGGGTGGAGGAGAGCTCAGAGCTGGAGAATGAATTGGGGGTTGAAAGTGATCCCAGCTCCACCCTTGAGACCTGTGGCACGTGGGGAGGGGGAAGGAGAGCCCTTGACCTACAGATGGGTGGTTATGGGAAAGCTACCTTTCTGATGAGGCAAGGAAGGGGACAAAATAGTCTGAGAAAAGGCTGAGGATTTGCCAGCTGGAAAGTGTAGGAGGGAAGGCAGCAGTAGGACAGGAGAGGAAACAGAAAGCAATATGGAGCCAAGAATGTGGGAGAAGACAAATGACCAGAGAGGCATACATTGTGTGTAGTGGCCAGAGGTGATACAGCTGTGAGGCTTGGTGGTACTGAGTGAAGTCACGGTTCCAGATGGAATTGTGCTGTCAAGTTCAGATACGGTCACAGTGGGTTGGCCGCATGATGCCTGTTGAGGTCCCCCCTGTCGGCAGCAATCAGGTAGAGACTGCAAACTCAAGCAGAGACTGAGAGAGGTTTTGGATGGGCAGTACCTGGTGTTGAAACTGAAGGATTCACCAAGTAAATGTTACCTTATACGGGCCTCTTAGTGGCCAGCTTGCTGGCTGTCCATGGGAATACCCCAAATCATGCTCTTTTTTTGACCTTCAATGTTGAAGTCTTTGGAAGTTTTTAAAGATGGACGGGACATAATCAGATCTGTATTTTGTAAAGAATAATGAATTTGGGTCAAGCGCAGAAGCTGGTGGTCTACTTCTGAAATAACCCAGGTAATGGGTCCAGTGAGCCTGAACTGGAAGAGAGTCAGAATAAAGGACTGGGGACAGATCAGAAAGAAATTCAGTAGACAGTATGAGTAGGTCAATATGACCAGTGGAAAAGATTTTGTTTCTACTTCCAAAAATTCAGTCTCTAATTTGGGCTTATAACTGTAAGTGGCTATTCCTAAGTTATACGGAAACATACTTCCTAGTATTGATTTTTTAAAGAGGTTTTCATTATGAAAAAGTACTGGGTTTCATGAAATGCTTTTTCAATACATACTAAAACCATCATATGGTGTCTTATTCGGGCTCCTATAGTATATTATATTTATAGATTTCCTTAGGTTGAATTGCTAAATTTCTGGGATACATTTTACTTAGTTATGATACTTCATTCTTCTAAGGAAGTATTGATTTTTCTTGTAACAAGGGCAAATATTTTATTAACAGCTGCCACCATAATTTTTCTTACATAAGATCTTGCTCTAGGAAAGTTCTTTGAAAAAGCCTTTTGAGGTGTGACTCCGATAACAGTGTGGTCAGCAAGGGGCCACAAGGTCAGTCAATAAATATGAGCGTTGACTGTGGTTCTGGCACTGTTTTACGTTCCAAGGGGATTGAGCCGTGAGCAAGACAGATGAAACCCCCAATTCTGTGGAGTTTACATTCCAATTACAGATAAAGAAATTATATAGGTAACATATAACTAAGGCAGTCCTTAAAGTTTGTTAATTTTGATAATATGGCCACAGAAATCCTCTCTAGGGAAAAGAAGATGACTAAACTACTCTGTGTGAGAAAATGGGATAAATCCATTTATTTGGCATCAAGAGAATGAGGGTAGAGGGGAAAGACACAGGAAGGGAAAAGGGTGGGGGAAAATACTCAGCAAGTTTGTAAAGAATCACATGAGGTAGTGCAGCCACTGAGAATTTCTTCCAATTTCCAGTTAATTTTGACAGCCAACTAAGTGGAATGTCTCACTGTAATGAATATAGATAAATACTGCAGAAGCGAGTGGCACGATGACAGAGTGAATATGAGTCTTGAGACGTTTTTGGTAATTTTTTTTAAAGAGCACATTGGGTTTTTTAATGACTTAAAATTGATGTGAAAATAAGAGTCTCTTAACTCTAGATGCTGGCGAGGATGTGGAGAAACGGGCACCCTCCTACACTGTTGGTGGGAATGGAAACTGGTGCAGCCCCTCTGGAAAACAGTGTGGAGGTTCCTCAGGAAAATACTAGAACTCCCCTGTGACCCAGCAATAGCACTGCTAGGAATTTACCCAAGGGATACAGAAATGCTGATGCATAGGAGCACATGTACCCCAATGTTCATAGCAGCACTCTCCACAATAGCTAAAACATGGAAAGAGCCTAAGTGTCCATCTACGGACGAATGGATCAAGAAGATGTGGTTTATCTATACCATGGAATACTTCATGGCAATGAGAAATAATGAAATCTGGCCTTGTGTTGCAACATGGATGTACCTTGAGTGTGTTATGTTTAGTGAAATAAGTCAGGCAGAGAAGGACAAATATCATATGTTTGCACATATAGGAGGATTAGGAGGAACTTAACTGAGGACCATGGGGGAGAAGAAGGGGGGAAATGGTGCGAGAAAGGGAGAGAGGCAAACCATGAGAGACTCTTGAATGCTGAGAAACGAACTGAGAACTGATGGATGTGGGGGGGAGGGGATAGATGGGCATGGAGGAGGGCACTTGTGGGGATGAGCACTGGGTGTTATATGGAAACCAATGTGACAATAAACTATTTGTAAAATAAAAAAATTTTTCAAAAATTTTTTTTGAAAATCTAACAGAAACTCAATTAAATAAAATAATTGTGATATTTTCAATCCTATCTGAATTTGTAGGCAAGACAATTATGGAGAATCTGAATCACTTGAGACCAATTTTTTTTTTTTTTGCCACATATTTAAATGTTGGAGTGAATCACTGAAATAAGAATAGTAATCTTTCAGGCTTTGTTTATCTTACTATGATTAATCTTGTTTAAAATATTTTATAGAATGGATTTTGATATTATTCCCTAACAAGTGCATTATTGAGGATGAGAAAAGATTCATAAAATCAGTTGTCAATTTACTTTTTTTACTATATTTAGTACATATCATAGGATATAATGGTCACAGAGATAGCTTTGAAGGGTATAGTTAAATGGACGCATGATTGGTGTTAAGATTGCTGTTCTCCCCCAGGTTTCTCTAGGTATGACTTAGTGCCCAGCCACCTTCCTCTATAGCACAGTTAATGGGTGGTCATGCCAAGCCTACATCAGTTGGTATACTGAAATGTGCAAAGATATGACTGATGGAGCTGGATCCAGGGTACTGAAGGAGGTTTCCTAACGTTGCTCATGTCGCTCCCTCCCTCTGAATGCCATTCCTTACCTTATATGCTGTTCTTCTAAGATTCAGCATGTGTCATCTGAATCCCCGGCCCCACGCTTGTGCCTTGCATACATATCATCTGAATCCAGGACTCACAGCTGCACTCATAGTTTTTCTCAGACTACGTGTTCTTTTTCATACTTACCTTTGCTTCTCCAGCATCAGAAGACACTCACTGAATGCTTACTACATGTACCTTGTGTTCTTGTACATGTTCAATTTCATTAACAACAATGTGAGTTAGGTGGATGGGTTTTATTTTGTATGCTGGCTCCATACAAATTGAATTGGTAATGTAATCTTAGAACTCTGTTGATAACAGTTCTGAAACTATGTCTGGTTTCAGCTAGAAGGGGGGGGCCGTGATCAACTTTCAAGGTTGGCCATGGCCAAGGGAGGGGGAGAAATGACAGATGTATCTCTAACTTATGTTTATTTATTTTCATTTTACAAATGAAGAAACTAAAGCCCAGAATCCGATAAGAAATAGAGAAAATTGTCATACTGATCTCCAAAACTCATAGCTCAGTTTATTCTTTTATCTTCAAACATTCACAAATAAATGAGGCTTAAAAATATTATTGGCATACATTAATTATGCTGGTATTAAAATGATAATGTAGGGGTGCTTGGGTGGCTCAGTCGGTTAAGTGCCCGACTTCAGCTCAGGTCGTGATCTCACGCTTCATGGGTTCTAGCCCCGTGTCAGGCTCTATGCTGACAGCTAGTTCAGAGCCCGGAGCCTGTTTCAGATTTTGTGTCTCCCTCTCTAACCCTCCCCTGCTCACAGCTGTCTCTATCTCTCTCTCAAAAATAAATAAAACATTAAAAAAAATCTTTTTAAATGATAATGTAGATTATATTTACTGACAAAGACAGGAACATTCAAAATGCATTGTTTGGTGAAAAAGGGTATTAAAAACCGTTATGTACAGGGTAGTCCTATGTTGAAACAGTGTGTGTATGTGTATGTGTATGTGTACACACATACAAACATATATGTTTTTTACAGGGGGCAATACATAGAAAAATATACTTTAAAATAATAACAGTGTTCATATTTGATAGTAGAATTTGGTGATCCTATTTTTACTTATTTTCTAACTTTTCTCCATGTTCATGTAGTTTTCGAATAACTAATTTTAAACATAAAGGAAAACATTTTAAAACAAAAGTATTATTGACAGTCATTGGTAACAAAGGAGGGGGCAAAAAGAAATTTTGTTTTTCACATAAATGTAAAAAGGACTACTGCTATCCTTTAAAAGCTAAAAGTATAGACATTATTGAAATATACGTAAATATAACATTAAAATATAAATAACTTTAGTTGTCGCAAATAATCATTAACAATGAAATCTTAAATATTGTGAACGAAACAGTAACTTACGGCATCTGTAGGTGTCCCCAGCCCATCATAATACATGACTCCCAGCTGGTAGGTTGCTTGATGGTCTTTTTCCTTGATTTCTTCAAACTGTTCTAGTGCTTCTCCATACCATCCCTAAGAGCTCCCAGGAATTATTGAATTATTTTTATTATTACCTCAAAGTCATTACAGATATTTAATCCCCACCTAAATCTAGCAGGAGCACCAGATATAGCAAAGGACAGCAACAAAGTTTATGGAATTTGGAAGTAAGGCATCAGCAGCAGTCAGCACACTGTAAAATCACTTAAATAGGCCTGAATGTGGCAGTGGAGGGAAATGACCAGGAAAAATCTGGGTGAGAGACTCTTTTGCTTTTCCTCTTACATTTGGATATTTCCACGCCTCTCTCAAAATGATAGCCTAGCCCTCTGCTCAATCCATCCCGCCACTCCTGGAGTCTGAGGCAGTGCAGAGCTGGGACCAGAGCATCAGAGAAGAGGTGCACATCAGAATATTCAGTTATTAAATATCCACTATTATTATAACTCATGGCCACCAGTGTTGCAGTTCTCCAGCTAGGGAGAAGACATGGAAAAACAAATGTGATTCTCTCAAATTTTTTCTCCTATGTTCCTATAGACACCTACATGGTGGAGCACCTGGGTGGCTCAGTGTATTAAGTGTCCGCTCTTGGTTTCTGCTCAGGTCATGATCTCACGGTTTCATGGGTACGAACCCTGCATCGGGCTCTGTGCTGGCAACATGGAGCTTGCTTGGGATTCTCTCTCTCCCTCTCTGTCTCTCCCCTGCTCACACTGTCTCTGTCTCTCTCAAAAATAAATTAAAAATAAAAATAATTTTAAAAATTCATGTTTAAAGGCTCCTCAGCAGTTACATGATCTGATAACAGCTATGCTAACGTGTAAGGGACTAATATGGGGCTGATGTCTTAATCCATCAGGGAAAATGCCTTATACTAAACAATGAACCATTTGTAGTTGTGGAGAAAAAGTCTGTTACTGAATTGGAAAGTTATTACTCAGCAAGAGCAGACCAGAGAAAAACAAATTCTGAAAGACACAAAAACAACTGATTTCCTTTTTCCATAAACTCTAATTAATCAGCAGCTTCATAAAATTAATAAAAATGGTAGTTAAATATTAACAAATACTAATTTTAAAGAACATATAATGAGTTAATGACCTCGCTGTCCCTGTTGGCTAATGTTTGGCTTAGATGTGAGAGAGCTGGAAAAGTTAGAATACTCTATATGAAGGAAGAGAAAGGAGATCCTTTTAGTTTCTATGATTTTATTTTATTTTATTTTTACATTTATTTATTTTTGAGAGCTAGAGCACAAGTGGGGGATGGGGAAAGAGAGAATGAGACACAGAATCTGAAGCAGGCCCTAGATTCTGAGCTGTCAGCACAGAGCCCATTGCGGGGCTTGAACTCACAAACCGTGAGACCCATAACCTGAGCCGAAGTTGGACACAACTTTCTGAGCCACCCTGGCGCCCCCAGTTTCTGTGATTTTAAATACCATCTATGTGCCGGAAAATGTCAAATATACGCTTCTAAACCAGACTTCTTTGAGATCTAGACTCTTAATGTGTACGTGTCTACTTTGAAACTTGTCTACTTGGATGACTAATGGATGTCTCAAACACAATGTGTCTAAAACCTGAACTCTCGATTGTCCTCTCAAAATTCACCCTCCCCACTTCTCTGTTTTTCAGTCCATGATGCTATTATTTGTGTCTCCACAATCCAGGACCCAGCCTCCACTGGCCCTGCCACACTGGTCAAGACCACCATCCTCTCTTGCCTGAAGTAGTAAAACTTCCCCCTAAACTGGTGTTGGTTCCCTGCTTGCCTTCTAATCTGTTCATCGCAGACTCAAAACACTTCAGTGTCTTCTTACTATGTTTTCAGCCAAGCTCATCTAGATCCGTTCTCTGCCTTGCTTATTACCACAGTGGTCTAGGAATTGGTCTCAATTCCTAGAGCTCACAGAGCTCCTCGTCATCCCTGAAATGTTGCCTTTTCTCACCTTTACCCAGAATGCACTTCCCCTTGGCTGTTTGCACTGCCTGTTTCCTTGTCTTCAAATTAGTTCCAACCACAGGTCTTTCCACCCTCTCCATAAATTATTCTCTATCATGATACCCAGTTAATTGCTCTCATAGCATCCCCCCTCCTTATTTGTAATGATGTATTAATTTATTTTCTCCCCCAAGTAGACTGTAAGTTTTATGAAAGGGGGACCATTCTAGTCACCTTGTCACAATACAGTTTGAGCCTAGCATAATAGTAGTAAACACTCATAAAACCCTTCTTAGGTGCCAGGCCTTGTTCCTAAGTACTTTTACAATGAATGCACCCTCACAATATCTCTAAGAAACACACATTATTATCCTTTTATAGATGAGGAAACTGAAGCTCTGAGAGGTTAAGTATTTGTGCCCAAGGTACACAGTTAACAAGTAGTAGAAACATTACCTGAACATATTCTCAAAGCTGAGACATCATTCTCTTAACCTGCGATATCCTCATAGTGATAGGTGTATGATGAGTCCTCAAATATTTGTTGCCAGAATGAATGATGGAATCATCAATTTAAGAGTAAGTGGGATTAGGTCAATAGCTGTCCAAATATTCAGTGAGTGGTGTAGGGATTGGGGGCAGCTGGCTCATTTTCACATCTCCCCTTGGGTTCAATGAAGGACTCATGCTATATTATTACTGAAGCTTGTGTGACGGTTTTGCCATTTCCCTTACATCTGCCTGCCCCTCAGGATACCTCAGTATAATGTGGGGAAAGAGGCAGTTCCCTCCTGCCTCTAGAGAGGAACATAGAAAGCTTGTAAGTACTAGATAAGAATCAGGGTCTTACAAATGATATTATTTGGGGCAAAAATGTAAAAACTGTGTGTGTGTAAAAGTTTATTTTGAGACAGAGCTTGTGTGCATATGCACTTGCAGGGGGAGGGGCAGAAAGAGAGAATGAGAGAATGCCAAGCAGGCTCTACATGGTCAGCACAGAGCCCTATGCATGGCTTGATCTCACAAACTATGAGGTCGTGACTTGAGCCGAAATCAAGAGTCGGACACTTAACTGACTAAGCCACCCAGGTGCCCCTAAAAGTTGTATTTTTAAGTTATAGTGTGAGAATGGATTTCATACCAAAATGACTCCTATAAATCACTTTCATTAGAACGACTTTTGCAAAGGAAGGTCAAATATCTCCTTAATGTATTGTACTTAGAGGCACAGTATAATCTATGGAATTTAACAGAATTCCCTTTGTATAACAATGTAAGGGACTCTATAGGAAATTTTGCTCTGAGGATCCAACACCAGCATTATATGAAATGAAAACAAACAGGAAATGATACCTCTTCAAAATATAGTTGGCCTCGTAGGAAATATGCCATAGCATCCCCTCTTCTTATTCTTTCCTTCAAGAGCTGCAACGCCTTATCCACCAAGTTAGCGTGGCTGTAATGATCTGATTTTTAAAAGGTAAAGAATTCCATCTTTATCCATATGATATGAATTTTCTCTCTTGAAGTCATGAATGATAAAGAACTCATCTGGCACTGTTTCTACTAGTTTTCTTCCTACTTCTCATTTATGAAACTGGCCTTCTTTGTTCAAGGAAAAAGCATGATCGTGGTACCTAACACTGTGCCTTGTATAATCCTAAAACATTTATTGATTGGTTTCCAAATCAATCCTGTGTACTACTAGGCAGAACTGCCATCTGTGTGCAGTTCTTTAGGCAAAGCTACCCTGTAGATGAGTGAAATTCTTAACTTGAGCCTCATTTAGAACTACTCTAACCAACCCCTAATTTAATACTATTAAGTCTATAGAAACAAAATGGTAGCTTTAAATGCCACTTTGAAGTAAAGCATGGCATTACCACTTCTTTAATAGAAGTGACATCTGGCTTCTCTTTTCCAGAAGGCTGTCCTAACATCCTGAGAGTGAAACCAGAATTGGGATCTGATTATGAGACTTCTCCACTGATGATTTGCTACCAGATAAGCAGTAATTCCTCAGATTCTTGCAGGAAAGCTAAGAAAGACTGTAAAGGTAACCACTTCCTCCACATCAGTACAGCTCCCATTCCTGTCCTTTTTGCTCTGGTGTACTGAATTGACTTTTAGTGAGAATATCATCAGAATCTGTACCAGTTTTTTCCTTCCTCCACTGGAATAATTTTGAGTTCTTAGCACCATACTGGGAGAGAGCAGTATAAAAGGGATTCTTGGGCAACTTTTCACTGGTCAACTTCATCCTGTTTCGACAATGTGTATTCTGTAAAAAAAAAATAAGTAAGTAAATAAAAAATAAAAAACAAGACTGTAGAAATACCTTCCTCCACAAAAATGCAAAAAGACTCCATTCTCACTTGGCACTCATTATAAAAAGCAACCTCCCTGCATTTGCCTAGGGCGAGGGGACCCAAGGACCAGGCCGGACGTGATATTCTTTCTGAGGAAACCAGGGCTGCCCACAGCTATGGGAGGCACAGTCATCCCCCACTTATGTGTCCTCAGCGTGGGGTTCATGATGAGCGCTGCTTGCAAGTCCTTTCTGGCTGTGAGTTCATGTGCTGCAGTGTGCGTCAGGTCACTACCAGAGCTGCCACAGGTAGGAATTGGTGACACCACCCATAGATACAGTTCTTGTGCACTGGTACTTTGCCTTGTATCTGCAGCTCATGACACTCATTTCAAAGTAAAGATCTTTTTTTTTTTTTTTTTTTTTTTTACCTGAAAATACACTTTATTTTAGCTGTGTTGTTCTGTTTTATCTTCCTGTCTATATTGGATTGCCATGTTATCGATGGATCACAGTTGAATGGAAAATCAGAGCCTTCATATAAAATGTAGAGGCCACCTCATTTGGGATGAAGGAGTCCAGGTTGGCCTAGACTGAGGGTAGTGAGACAGCAAACTCAGTTGTTGCTATGCTTTTTTGTTTACTCCTTGGCATTCTACTGTTACAGCTGACTTTCACCAATCAGGAACAAGCTTCCCGGGAAGGGTTCCTGATTGGTGGTGAAGAGAATTCAGGAGACCTTCAGTGTGACTGGAAAGTATAGTACACTTATACTATTATGTGAAACTATTCCGGAAAATAAATTGCTTCATTTATGAGAATGAAGTGCAGAAAAGGGAGCATTTACGAGGAGGAAAAATCACTGCAGTGTCTTTGTTATTTTGGAAGAGGCATTGAATCATTTAAAAGTCAACTTCCTCATCTGTGGTTTGAATTATAAGTACTTTCAACTGGAGGAGTTCCAAATGTCTGTTGCTAGATGTATAAAATGTTTTGATCCTTTGATTCCAAAAATCTTATGTTTGCATTAGTGAATATAAAAGTTTCCAATGAGCTTTGGGGTTAAACAATAATAGGTAAAGTACAAGAAAACCAATCCAAATAGGATGCCGTACATAGCATTATCAATTTATGGAGAAACTGTTTATAGAAGTTTTTATTTTACTGAAGACATTAAACCTGTATGCTACCGTATTCAAAAAGGCTAAGAAAAAACTTGGCACATTCAGGAAGGCCGTTGGATGGAAATGAAGCAAATCAGAAAACAATACCTTACCTCCTCTGAACTCACGGTGCTCTCTGTAGTTACAATACTGCACAAGGTATTTTTGTTGTAGCGTAAAAGAGTCAGAGAGGGTCTACAAAGCATAAGCAAAGACTGAGCTCTTACTGAAATACCAGCTACTGTTCTTTCTTCTAAGTGCATTAGAGACATTAACTCCTACAAAACTGTATGAACTAGGAGCTATTATGAGGCCCACTTAACATAAGAGGGTACTGAGGAGGTTAAGTAACTTGCCTCAGGTCGTAGAGCTGGGGGGTGGGACAATGGGACACCCCAGGGCCTCTGTGCCTCATCATTATACTGTTTCCCCAAAACTGAGACTGACATGATTTTTTTAAATGGCAAGACTCCTGTAAGAGGCTAAACCAAAATGAAGTACTTGTTAGTTTTAGAAAATGTGATATGAGAAGATTTTAAAAAGGAAAGTATGAGTTTATTTCTCTCAAATCTTGGGATTAGATATAAAGTCATCATTTGAAACTTGACAACTGTTTGCATGACATGCTGTGAATTTAGAAAATCCTCGAATTAGTTGATGATAGAAAAATCTGAAAGAAATCCACAATTTTAAAGGGAAGGGCTGGTGTAGTGGATGCCGATGGTGCCCTTTCCAGATCGTCTTTACTAGTTAGCGCCCCATCGCCACCAGCAGTGATTCTTTGTCCCCCTGACAAACATGAGTCCCCTAGCTCCTGGACACTTTGCTCCTTCTTTCTTAGAGACAGATCATGGGCGCGAGCATGTGGAAGGCCAGCTCCTGCTGAGAGACGCAGTCTGGCATGAATCTTGAGCACTCTGGCACATCCTCGCTGGGTATGTCAAGAACACAGGCCATGGCTACTTTTTACATGGGCCATTTCTCAGGGTTGTGCTTGCAGAGAGCCTTGAGAGATAAGGTGACATCTCCCCACAGATAAAAAAAACAGGCTTTTATAAAAGTACTGAATCCTCCCCCCCCCCACCCCCCGCAATGCTTAGTTCTGCTCTCTTACAATGCAGCCTATTGAATAATAGGCGTCCATCATGGGTCTTTTGTGTCCCCTGTGGGATTAGGGTCATAGGGAACCAACTTCAGCATCATGCTGACACTCTGGCTCTTGCTTTTGCTATGAGTGACAAAGTCATTTATCTCTGACCCAGGAGTCTTGTGTGTTCTGCCGACATCCAGGAAACAGGCTAGCTTGTTAGCTGTAAGTAGAGTAAAAACCTCGGGCCCTGCACAGTTCTTGGTGCCCTTTCGCCTCAAGGTGAGACGAACTCAGAAGTGTGATATGTTCTCTGTGAGATCAGAATGAAGCTAGTTGCCATCTGAGCCCACATTCCTACTTAACATTTCCTCCTCACCAGACTGTGCTGCTTTCACTTCCCTCCTCCTGAGAGGAGCCCCCAACCCATCGCTTGAATAAAAATGCCCTACTCAGACCATGCTTCTAGAGAACCTGACTTAATACAATGGAGGTGTATGGAGGAAGAGTTATTTTGTTCCTTTCTAAAACTGTCATAATAAAGGATAACTTCCCCTCCAATAAAACGTTAGTCACAGCATATTGTGTCTAGGGGGTTAAATGTATGTGAATTTTTGGATAAAACAATATATCATTGGAAAGAGGACTAAAATTAGCTTAATGATAAATAACCTTATTCTGGATGCTGGATGACAGGAAGGAAAGAGTGAGAGTAAGGGAGGTCTGCAGAGCCTGAAGATGTAAGTTCTAGCTACTTCTCTAACAATCCGCAGAGTCATGCCAAATAAAACTGCAGGGAAGGGACTAGATGAAGCAAAATGGCTATTTCTTTAAGATCCAGGCAGGTTGGGGCTCTTCTGTGGTTATGCCTTAGCAGGGATTCGAATCAGAATAGAAATAAAAAGAAATGGTAAATTGAAAAATCAGAGAAAAGAGACAAGTGTTTAGAACAGACTAGATTGCAGTAACTAAAAAGAGGATCACAAGTGAGAAATCATTAAGGCTTAATTATAATGCGGGAAGACTTCTTAATTTTTTAAAAAATTAAAAATGAAAAACTAAAAAATTGGATACAAAAGAACTTGTCGATAGATATGTAAAGAATGAAGGAAAACAGTACAATTAACATCCATTGCCTGCCATTTAAATGGTTTAAAAAGTCCATTACCTAGAAGTCTCCTATATGTTCCTCCTCTTTAGCCTCCTCCTCTGTCCTGCTTCCCCCCACTCTGCCCCAACCCCCCCCCCCGCATTCTCCCCATAAGCTCCTTTTCCAGGTTTCTTGGCCATTCGTATTTCTCTTCTGTTAAGTATCTGCCTTTGTGTTGTTTGTTTTATTGATTTGTAGTTCTTCACACCTCAGTCGTGTCTCTTATAAATAGAATACATTCAGATTTGTTGATTCTTTTTTATACCCAGGCTGATACTCTTTGATTATTACTGGTATATTTAGTTCGTTTACGTTTATTTTAATCACTATTGGGGTGGAATTATTTTGTACTTTTAAGTCCATCTGCCTTATTCATGCTTCATTTTCTTTTTTATTGCTTTCTGTTAGATTTAATTGAATTGACTAGGTATTTACTTTGTTTTGGAACGTTGAACTTCCTGAGTCTTGGGTTGGGGTCTTTCAATACTTCTAAAAAATCTCAGCTATAATGCATTTGTATTAGTTTCACTTCCTAAAGCTGCTGTAACAAAGTACCACAAACTCTGTGGCTTAAAACAGCAAAAATGGATTTTTTCCCAGTTCTGAGGAATGGAAGTCCAAAATCAGTGAGCTGTCCGGACCATGGTCCCTCTGGTTCTAGGGAAGAAACCATTGCAGATTCCCTCCTAGCTGCTGGTGGTTGCTGGCAATCTTGGTGGGTCCTAGGTTTGTAAGCTGTATCACTCTAATCTCTGCCTCTGTCTTCATGCGGCCTTCTCTCTGCATCTTTTGTGTCTCTGTGTGTCCCCTCCTTTTCTAAGGACACCAGCTACTGGATTTGGGGCCCACTATAATCCACTAAGACCTCAACTTAGCTAGATTTTTTGTAAATATCCTAAGTTCTTTTTTTAAGTTTATTTTTATTTATTTTCAGAGAACGATAGAGAGTCAGCGGGGTAAGGGCAGAGAGAGAGGGAGACAGAATCCCAAGCAGGATC